ACAATTCTACTATAATCCTTTTTTCAAGAAATACAATGATGATTAACATCAAAATCAACATAAAGCGGATTTAGTGATCCAAGCTTTCTCCTCCAGTAGCAATAGAATGATCGCATGTTTCATTTGCCAGACACTGAGTAACCGATGCACATTACAATCTGCATAGCATGAAGCATCTAAGCTGCCCAAGTCCATTCATTCTAGATTTTTAACTTGAAAGTTAGCACTAATTTATCTTGCTGTTGTAAGTTATCATTCAATATCCATACCAATACATCAATATGCGCTCACCAGTCAACATTTTCTGGCATGATCCTGCTCAGCGTGCTCTTCAGTAAGTATTGCTCCAAGGTCTGCAATATTATAGCTTGTTTTTGGCCAATAAGCTCTTTTTATTTTACTTTTTCTTGCTGATATATGAGCCCGATCACCTTGCGTTTATCAACCAAAATTTCATAACTTGTTCAACTTGATATTGATATTGCTCAGGAGTCAGGACCTCTGTCAGCCTCCTGAGTCCTGGATACTTCGGATTGTTTTCAGTCAACATGCTTCTTAAATATGATATAAGTCAATATTCAAAACATCCAACAAAACGACGTACAAGAGTAAGAAAACCACCAGACAAACTAAAAAATGGCCTTGGAACAGAGCCAAGTGGTGTGCTCCATTTGTTTGTTTACAATGATTGTAGTGCTGATGTATTTTTAGGACTCTAAACGTCGGCTTATAAAAAATGAAACGTTTTTACAAAAGTTGTAAGGCAAGTAATATTTATCTGAAAGAACTAAAATATTCAAAAGCCAAACACTATGAAATACATGAATCGGAACGAAAAAGTAACCCAAAAATCCAGCCTAATCACCGGCTCCTAAAACTGCAACAAAATCAGCACTTTTCCCCGCAACTCGTTGTCCAGACGTAAATATGCATATATGATGGCCAATAAAGGATTCCAGGACAATTCTTATGGCATTTCTTCGTATCGCAATTCTTCGTCTGCAAATCTTCGTCAGGGCATTTATTCGTACCTATCGCATTACTTTGTCTCGCACCAGGGTATATGAAAATCGGCTCGCATTTCTTCTTCAACGCAAATATATGCAAGAGTAAGCATTGAGGGACAAATAAATACACCGACGAAGATTTGTAGACGAAGAAATGCGGACGAAAAATTGTGCTACGAAGAAATGTCATGCGAGGATTCGTTCGGGTACCATGACATTTATGTGATTTCAAAGTCAAGGTTCACAGCTGATCTGCTAAATCAAGCCAAGAATCCAAACTATCAAAAAACTATAAATATTTGTTTGTCTGTCACAGAGGTCTCAAGCAATATAAGGTTGACATATGTTGGATCAAAAATCTACTGCCACAACTCACATCTCCTGCCTTAGTTTATCATTGTTGTTTTAACTTGCTTTCAAGAGAAACAGAAGCCAGTATCTGATATCACTTCAGATGATTGTTTCAAGATCTGAGTTCAAATGGAAATAAAAGCAAGATCAAGATGAAACAGGGATTATTGCTGTTAAAGTAGTTTGGCCATGATACAACAAGCACATAAATCATTAGCCAAATCAAATACTGGTTGGTTTGTCAAGATGTTTGTTGTCTGTCGTCTGTCGAGCTGCTATGAACACTGAACGCTCTCACTAGAGAGTAGTTTAAGTTGAATGGTAGTGAGCTGTAATTAGACAAAGCAGCTATTCAGTGCTCACATCAAGCCAGGCTAGGAAATGGCATCAACTGTGGTGGGAGGAAGCAGGTTCGGCAGCCCTATGTTGTAAACTTCTGTTATGTCAATGTCTTGTGTTTGATCAACTGATGTTTTCTGCTCTGTTTTGTGCAGTGATAGTAGCAGGTAACTGCATGCTTGTCAAATTATGTGAATAAACGAATTCATAACATTGCATTTTTCTCTCCATGCAAGGAACAAGTAAGATGTTGTAGAAAATGTAATAGAGGGCTGCATTGCTGATTTTGCACTTTATCAGAGCTTTATTTAGAATTGCTTTCCTGAAAGCTACACACAGGCCACAGTGCTGAAATTCACAATGTCATAGCTTTTGGCAGAAAAAAGAAAAGACTTACCTAGGTAAAATTGGCTGAAAGTATGGCAGAGCAGGTCTCGATGCGTATGCCCATCCGTGTGCTTGCCGAAGCCGAACTGACTGCAACACATTTAACTCTGACCCACCATGGTGGCTGGCATATCCTGAACTTTCACCACTCTAAACAAGACAACTTTCAGCCCTCAGCATTGTATTAAAACACTGTACAAAACACTCAAAATTTGTTTCAGTGCCATCCACGGACAACATCAGTCGCCATTCACCAGGCCAGTAAAAACAGAATAGATAATAGCTTCAAACCCATGTAGTCAGAGTTACTAGGTCTGCACCTCAAAACAAAATCCAGGTGACATTCACCACGCCAGTAAAAAACAGGTACTTAGGTAACGTAACAGCTTCAAATCTGGTAACATGTTGGTCGGACTTTACACTACCATATTTACATGGAATAATATGATACCAAACAATAGTGCAACCATTCTGGACAACAAAAGTGTATGATAAAATTAATTTAGAATACTCTGGCAGCATGATTTACGAGCACAGGCAGGTGTTACCTACCAGCCTTCTCAATGCTCGTAAAACCAACATTGTAGTTTTGATTTTACCTTACATGATAACACACTTGGCTGCAATGGCACATTCAATTTAATACTGTGAAAAGACCAGTTATAACCACTTCACAAGCACAATTGCACCTCATGCCGACATCCTTTTCCAAAGACAGTCAGCAGCGTCTTTCGTCTAAACTGGAAGATAAATCCCCTTTCAACTGTTAACATCAAAAATATTTCTTCATGGTGTGACTGTGATCTCCATATGGAAACCTTGCAGGGAAAGAATTAATGTCAATTGTCAGCTCTTCAAATTTCTTTGGACTTTAACTTGCAGTACCATATCAGTCGGGCGCACTGTGGTATCTCCGATTCATTTATGGAGACGTTTCTATTATTGGAAACGTTTCCAATTTTGACTACTCTTCTGTTCCAAAAATGGAAACGCTCGTTCCATAAATAGAAACGCTAACATCTCCGCACATATTTTCTTGCCAAGGGTGGCTGGATTCGACGTATAACAACTGTTTCGCGTAAAACAAGCTCAGATACACCAAAAGCACTTGTCTTCTTGCATGGAAAGCTGTCGTATGCATTAAAATTCACGTCTTTAAAATGCTCCTGAATCGTATCCATTTATGGAGACTTAGTTTCCAAAAATGGAAACGCCGATGTTCCAAAAATAGAAACGCTGAAGTTCAAATGTGTGCAAACTTAGCTTAAATGTGTTTTTAAAATTCACATGCAACTAAAAATTTGATGTTTTGGGACTGGTTTAGCATCTCGGCTCTCGGCAGTTACCTTGGACGTCGGGTTCGATAATAATACCTTACGCGCCGCAACTTGAGCACATTCAAAAGTCAACTAAAACTAAGATTTCCCAGAAACTACTGGACAGATGTGGTCCAAAGTGGGCAATACATAAAGCGTAGATATCATTTCAATATATAAAATTAATATCAATGTTACACATGAGCTAGAATGAATAAATTCATCGTCAGAATACAACGGTATTTGGTGTGACGACGGTGGAGACCTTATTTCCATCCTGCTTTTTACGTATTTGCAAGGAGATTTACGTTTATCCGAGCCTAGGATCATATTCAGCACATTTGAAATATCATAAAATGCCCACTTAAGTCTCCAAATAGGGCTTTGCAACAACTTTCATGCGATTTAATCAAAGATTGACGACCACCAGGCCGCTGGTACACCGGAAAACGCAGCGTGAAAATGAATGAAAAACTGAAGTTCCCGGTGATGTGGTTGTTCCAATCAATGGGTCAGTCTTTCAGTAGTCTGTTAAAAACGTTATTTTTTGTTCAAAACATTCATAAATGTTATTATTTTCGATTAGAAAAACGTTTTAATTTTTTAACACGTCAACATGTTATAAGCATCGCCTCGTTCGTCAACTTTCGGTTTTCTGATCGGAAAATCGGAGAACAGGAACATAAACTAGAATGCTGGCTGTCGATTGGCGGCATCCTGCGCATGCCAAATTGCACCAATCAATGCCCAGTTTGATTTAAAGGTAGCGATGCACACAGCGTCTCCATTTATGGAACAGATCGTTTCTATTTTTGGAAACGGCGTATCCATTTTTGGAACATTGTTCCAAAAATGGAAACGTTTCCATAAATTGATCGGAAATACCACAGTGTGCCCGACTGATATCCAGTTTGCTTTGATATTTTGTTTTTTATTCCATGTTGAAGTTGAACACCAAGCTCCAGATATAGCAGGCAGCTTGATCATCTTCGGCCTTGGTATAATATCAGTCCAAGTTCCAGTGGTGGGTATCTTCTAATATTCAAATTAAAATGAAAAGCAATAGGCTTTCTCAGCGCCGACGACGGATTTCACGTTGATAAAAAAGGGAGCTCAAGGTCAGCAAAACTCGGGTTCAAGGAATGGCGGGCGTTGAAATGACTGCTGACGTCATCAAAAAACCGCTAATGGTTAAGAGATAGGGACTAAGCTGGTCCCACCCTGCAAGTAAAGGGAAGAAATTTCTTGAACACCATAAAGCTGCGGGGGTTGCGACCAGGATAAATGGTGGTTTCTGAGCCTGGCCGCAAACTTGGCTATCTCAACTCAAAACTAATGTTAAGGTGGGATGGTCCCTTTAAAACCAGTCTCGAAAAAGCAATTTTTATTAGCGGATCAAATGCAAAAGTTTTCAAAACCTGTGACGTCACATTAGACTATGAAATTGTCAAGAATTATCGAAATCGAAATTATCGAACTGAGGCCTCATGATAATTTGCCGCTACATCTATTTCCAAGGCCATAGATCTATTTCACTTTTGGAACGATGGAGGTGGGGTGTGGTTTGCATCATGGACCAATGAAGCCTTTAGTCCATGGTTTGCATATGCCTTGTTTCATGAAACAGAGTAAAAAATGATCATCATTTCACTTGGATATCATATTCCACCTAAAGTCACAAACTGGAATACTGCAAATACAACCTAACTATAAAGTTTGCTATCAATATGCCGCATGCCCAGACTGAAGAAGTACATGTTATGCTGAATATGTCCATCGTAGTGACAGGATTGCGCAAAAAATGCCAGTGTACATACTTTGCACATTTCGAACTCAGCGCATGGCGACCGCGGAATTTTTATGAGCAGGAAGGCTGCATAATTTTTTGGCAAAAGACTGCCACTGAATTAAATCGGCACACTGGTCAATCTATCAGCAGATTCGCCGTGCGGGCGGCTCTGGGGTGGTTTAGGGATGAGTCCCTACCCCGGTTGTCGCATGCTCAAACTGGCGAGCCGCCCTGAGTATTTGCACTTAGGGGAGGAGCGGCCGCCCAGGTGAGGCCTCAGCCCTTGGCGTGGAGATAAATATGGAAGACCTTGTTGAACTTTGCCGAGCATCGTTAAGTAATACTGAGGTGGATTCCTGCCCACTACGGTATCAAGGGGAATGAGGGTGCAGACAACCTGATGAAACAAGCGGCCGCCCTGCCCTCAAACGCCCGCTCGCTAACCAGGGTGGTGCATTGTGCGGCCTCGCATTAATTGCGCGATGACTGGTCGGAATCACTATCCAAGCCACTCCTCGGGAGCACGCCGCCGCTCCCCATCCCCGGAGAGGACCGATAGGACGCCGTTTCGGTGCACCAGATGAGGGCGGGCCACTGGGGCCGCTCGCTCCAGTACGTGCACCGAATCGGCTGTCTCCACTCCGCGACATGCCAGCAGTGCCCAGACAAGCGGTGCTTCGCGATGGGCTGCGCGCACCGTGTGCCGAGAAGAGGCTGATGTGCCGGAGCGCCACCTGCTGCTCCGCTGCCTGGCCCTCGCTGGCTCCCGCCAGCCTCTAACACGCCGCTCCACCGATTTTTGTGGCCCCGGAACTCCCAGCACCAGCCTTGTTTCACGGAACGACGCTACAGTGCGCTAAACGTATTGAGGTATCAGGTTTCCGTGGAAAAAAACTTATTGGGACGCTCAAACATTGATATGGGAGAGCGTCCAAGGCTCCGGAACGCTCGGTCTGGTTGATAGAGCTTTGATCGGTGGATGTGCTGGTGCACATGTGCTTGATATAAAAGTGGCTTAATTTTGGCACTAATAGGCACTCAATTTTCGGCGCAAATCAACCAGGAATTTCAGCGCAAAATCGCTTCGCAAGAGGGTCTCACGGGCGTCCGGCGTAGTGTATGGATGTTTTGGAGTCTGGCCGCATGCCACAATGCACCAGCACAAGAATTTAATTCAGCAAAATGTTGAGTTATGGGCCCTGATCGGCGCCCGGCTAGTGCTCTTGCCGGCACTCACACATGTGCTGGTTGCCCCGGCAATGAACTATTGACCAATGAGAAGCGAGGAAAGTGCAAAGTCACTGCGATTTTTCATAAACCTGTGCCCCCTGTAGCGCGTTTCTCATCAGTCAATAACTCAATAGGCCGTTGCCGGGGTAACTGGCACGTATATGACAAATACGTGCCAGTTACCACGTGCAGTTACCTCCGCGCACATTGTGCGCGGGAGCTAGCACGCTAGCCAGACGCCGCCAGCCAGCGCTATGGCCTGCACTGCTCCACAGTAAATCAGCACAGTGCATCAGTTGATGCCATCAGCTGATTGCCCAGACATTGACAAGATCTCATTGATATTGCCATGATTTGTACTTCCCAGTCTGGCCTGTAGCTAATTTACTTTTTTGGCGTCAATACTTATGTCCAGTTAATTTCCCCACCACAGGCAGAGTAGATGCTTTTCAGATCAGTTTTTCATGATACCTACATTAATGCATACAATGTTTTTCCTTATCTTCAGCCAAAGGATTTCCCTGCTCTGAAGAATGACCTGCTGCTGCGAGCAGCACGAGGTCAGGAGGTGGATCGAGTGCCTGTGTGGATCATGAGGCAGGCTGGACGGACCCTGCCTGGTAGGTGCCTATGCTACACTCCAAGTGATGGCATGATAGGGGTGCTGGCTGTCAGTTTTTTTCTATAAATTTAGTCCGAACCTTTTGATAGGAAGGATTCACAAGGAAAGAGCCACCGCTAAGCTAAGCTTGTTTCGGTGACCCTGCCCTCTACCCTCCTATCGCGCAATTCCAGTTCTATGGCAGAATTTAGAGTCCAAAGTTTAACGTGCGCACATAGCCGCGCACGGCCGGTCCCCTCACTGACTTCGCCTGGCTACGGCCTGCCACCAACCGCAACCATACCTGTCAGGAGGCCCATAAATTTCAAGCGCTCGTCGCGCTTCGAGCCCGAACTGTTATAACCGGGAACGCGTGCTCTCACGCGTTCCCGGTTTCCTCTTTTCCTCTCTTCATAAACACTTTGCCAACGCCTAAACGCTTGGCGAGACGTTTAGGCGACATGTCGGCCTCCGGAGCACGCCTTGGGCCTTATCATGCAACTGCTGCTATACGGGATCGGAGATTCAGGATGACTAATAATCAGCATCAGAAATCTTCGGCCTTGTCATCTGCTGGGGGATAAAACCGGCCTATAAGTTCTGGAGGGCGCTGTAGGCTGCCACCAGGGCCGCTACCATGTCGCTGTGCCGGTTTGCCTTTACCGTTCATTGACCGCACAGTCGCTGGCCCGCCCGTGTGCCCGCAGAGTACCGTGCAGTGAGCGAGCAGAACGGCTTCTTCACCATCTGCCGGACACCGGAGCTGGCCTGTGAGGTGACCCTGCAGCCGGTGCGCCGCTATGACCTGGACGCAGCCATTATCTTCTCAGACATACTGGTGGTGCCGCAGGCGCTTGGCATGGAGGTGCTCATGAAACCGGGAGAGGTGAGTTCGATAAGTAAGAATGCACTTGGTAATGTGAGGCCACTCGAAGTGATGAGACGGTGTGTTACATGAGGAGAGTTAAACGGTGAGATAGAAGTGACGGTAGGCGAGATAAGGGGGAGCTGAGTCATATTTAGAGTCAGGTGAGCTGTACTAGGTGAGGGTAGTTATTACGGGAGAGGTTTTATGAAGCCGTGTGAGGTGCACACAGCTCACGTGAGATGCGAGTCCTAGACGGCCTGATTCTACCATGTCAAGCTCTTGATAAACTCTAACTCAGACCTCTCTATGTCAAAAGGCCGCTACATTTTGTATCGATGTTAATGCATATGTTATTCATTTATTTGACACCAAGGTGAGGATTTCACTCAGGCCGGCGTCTCTCTGGGTTGTGTGTACTGCCCACCTGACCGTTTGTTCCCGCTCGTCTGACGGTCCGCTCTGTGCCGCGCAGGGGCCCGTGTTCCCGGAGCCGCTGTCGGGCCCGGACGACCTGAGCCGCCTGCAGCGACCCGTGGACGTCCACCAGCAGCTCGGATACGTCTTCCAGGCCGTCACCCTCACCAGACACAAGCTGGAGGGAAAGGTGCCGCTCATCGGCTTCTCAGGCGCACCGGTGAGTGAACTTTTCGTATGTGTGGCGCACAAGATAGGCATACTGTCCAGTAGCAACTGCTGCTGCCTTCAGATAACGAAGCTGTGGAGTGTGCGTACCTTCTTATTTGTGTGCTTTTTGTTTGCTGGAGATGCTAACTGTCACTATCACGAGACATGAACGAGATACTTCAGATTAGATTAACGCCCTCTAACATCATGATTCCTGGCTACTCTCAAGCGTCAGCATCAACATCTTTACACGTCTACCATGGTATGGCCCGTCCTCGACCTCTCCATTGGTGCCAAAAGTCCCTTTGGAGCTGTTATCAGCAAATCCGCCACTGACTTCACTCCCGTCCGCCACACGGTCGGTCGTTTTCAGTGGACGCTGATGGGCTACATGATCGAGGGTAAGGGGTCCAAGACCATGTCGAAGGCGAAGCGGTGGCTGTACCAGCATCCGGAGGCGAGTCACCAGCTGCTGTCCATCCTGACGGACGTCATTGTGGACTATCTAGTCGGTCAGGCGGAGGCAGGGGCGCAGGTGAGGAGGACGCTTGGACGGACAGCGGCCCGATTGGGAGGGAGCGGCTGGTCTTTGGGCAATTTGGTTAACACGAGCTGTTTGCTAATTGCTAGCGAGAACAAAGTTGGCGAATATACTCGCATAGGCCAGTAAAATATTTATTTGACATTACGTTTATGCAGAATTATTGTGCCCAACCAGTTTTCGCATGCTAACTCCATTGAATCTGTCTTTCATTTCTGGGATACAACCAAATGGTCCTATCTTGTTTGTGCGACTGCCCACAGCTTCTGCAAGTGTTTGAGTCCAGCGCCGAGTACCTGGGACCGGATCTGTTCACCGAGTTCGCGCTGCCCTACATCCGACGGATTAGCGCAAACGTCCGCGAGAAACTGAAGGCCAAGGACCTGGACATCCCAATGGTGAGGCCAGATATGTGAGACTTGAGCTAGTTGATCAAGTGACATTGCAATGTCGCTGCTTGGGGTCTGTGTTATTATGATGTTGCTTTTCATCTGGAATTTTTAATGTTACGAATATTACGGTTGCATACAGCTACAGCTAAGGGACTATCCCACCTTTAACATGGGGTTTGAGTTGAGATAGCCAAGTTTGCGACGAGGTTCAGAAACCACTATCTATCTAGGTTACAACCCCCGCGGCCTCTTGGTGTTGAAGAAATTCGTTCCCTTCATTTGAAAATGGGCCTTGTGCAAGGCCCTATCTTCAACATGGAGCGACCGTTAGTGTGACGTCACCTCGTTTAGTCATTCTGATTTAAATGGGTTTGTTCGTTGAAAAATCGCTTAAAACTTGGTCTGAACTTTGTTGTGGTGCCTACAGAGTAAAAAGAATCGGCTTTATGACAGTAATGTGGCCTGGGGAAGGAGGTAATTTTGGGCTGTGACGTCACATATTTGAAAGTTTGTGTTTGGAATATGGGAAGCCTAAGATGTTTAATGCCAGAACCGTGTTCCTGGTCATCCAATCTATAAAGTCGGGCACAATTTAACTGGTTTTAACAACATTTTAGAAGGTGGGATAGTCCCTTTAATGGTTAATAGCCGAACCGAAAAGTAATTCGTTTTGTTTTATCCAGTGCACATTCATTTCCGATCAATGCCACATTCCATGTTTTAACTTATCCCCCTTCCCTCCCCCCTCCATTAACTTTCATCAGCTGGTTGTGCCCGCTCCCCACTGCCACCTGATGACTCGTCATGTGACGTTTGTTTCCCCCAGACGATATTCGCCAAGGGCGCGCACTACGCGCTGGAACAGCTGGCAGACAGCGGGTACGAGGTGGTTGGTCTGGACTGGACGGTCGACCCTCAGGACGCCTCCCGTCGGCTGGGAGACAAGGTCACCCGGCAGGGCAACCTCGATCCGTGCGCCCTCTACGCGCCACTGGTAAGGATAGCTCGCGGTCGAGAGTTAGGTGAACGGGCTGTGCTTTGTATCTAGGTAGTAAGTTGTTGAACTTGTTGGAGTTTGTTGAAGAAGAGCTGCGCAAAGGAGATGAAAGACTAGGGGAATAATAGATTTTGGCATGGCGCTAAAATCCCAACCTAGCTATTCCATCGTGATGACCGTCTTCCCGCTGTCAGCTGACCGTGCGACACGTGACCGTATGCTTCTGCCACCTCCGCCAGGATTCTATCGACGCTATGGTCCGACGGATGGTGGAGCGATTCGGCTGCCGGCGCTGGATAGCCAACCTCGGCCACGGTGTGTATCCGGACATGACGCCCGAACATGTCGGAGCGTTCGTCGACGCCGTTCACAAGTATTCCAGCGGGAAATGAGTGGTGGTGAGAAGACCGGCACGGGTGCCACCCGTGACCTCCGATGGGTGAGGAGTGGGTGCGGGAGAGGTGAGAGCGAGGGAACCTGGCGGTAGACGGGAGAGGAAATGTTTGACACGTCATGAGAGATGCAAGTTCATCGTATTGATGGCAAGGTGCCCCGCGGATGACGATGAGTTGGATGTTGTTTTTTTTTCTGGGGTCGTGCTCTTTTTTTTATCTGGTTACGTATGACACGGTTCCGGTGCCATGTTGATAGGCTGATATTTTCGGCTTGTTTATGCAGGGTCTTTATTTCACTTTTGTTGGGCCCTAGCTGTGGGGTAGAAATAAGCTCAGGCCAGAGATATTGGGTGCAGATTTGATTGATCTAACGAGAACAAAGTGGATCTCAGCCTTGAGTTCCTGTGATGACGTCTCCTGTTTTCAAATATTCTGCCGGGTTTGTTGAGCCTCGGTTGCGGATACACAATTTACGAAGGGCGTTTATTATCTGTGTGTGCTGTGTGCTGTCTTGGATGATGCAGATAGTGGTTGTTGGCCTACCTAGGCACTGTCGTCGATGCTGGGCCTAGTGTCTTGTTTTGATAAACTTTTGAATGTTTATACGTGTTGAATATAAATTATACCGGAAATGACCAGTCTGGCTCATTGGATCGAGACAGAAGTCGCATATACGAATATATGTACGCGCAGATACCTACGCCAAGATAACACTGATCTCAGCATCCAGTTAACTGCACATTACCATCTCCTGTGCTGAAGTTGTAGTTCCTTAACAGTGGCGTTGGACTGGGCACTGGGTAGATTTATATTCGATTTGTCTAACAAACGGAATGAACATGACTCGAAATGTTCGGTGCTGTTATAGTTACACCCAAATATCTCCCAGCAGTAACTACTAAAAGAAGCGACCGATAACTCCAGTTTATTGTCACGTCCTTCGTTATCCACCATTGACCTCACTCCGTACACAGAATGGATCGCGGGCAGTCATGGAGACTGCATGTCACAAGATACTGCAACACAATCGCGAACGGAACTCAATACGAAACTGGGATATTTTGCTACGTCAGTCGGGAAGGCAGTTTCAACGCCATTGTGAGCGTTCCTCTACCTACTGTTCGCACAATCGTACGATGCGTTGATAGGAGTAGTATTTCGTAATATTAACTGAGTCCATACACTGCAAATCTATGTTATCTACAATTAAAGCGACGGTCACCAGTTTAAACATCTACACCAGGGCACTAAAATCTACACGAGATCAATAATTTCGTTACACAGGTAAAACATCGCTACATCAACAAGTTTGGTCCCATAATTCGGTCCACCAGGCTAAAACTGGACACCCCCGGCCCCGAGCCAGACCTCGTGCCGCTCTCACCGCGTGAGCCGAGGCTGCGCTAAGCGCGCGCAGGTCGGCACGGCGGCGTCTAGTCATCGTCAGAGGTGGGAGACATGGTCATATCCTTCGGACGCATGCTGACGGCGCCGCTCAGGCCGGCCACGGGACCGCCCTCGGGCGCCGGGCCCGAGCGCTTCATCGGCGTAGACTGCACGCCACCGGCCGCCACGCCCGCCTCGAACTTGTCCGTGTCCAGACTGGAGTCGACGGCCGGCGGCGGCGCGGCCGACAGATCGAGCGGCGCCAGCATCCCCGAGCTGCCGGCCGACGGAGAACCGCCCGGAGAGCCGGACGCCACGCTGCTCGCCGAGCTGCTGCTCGAACTGCCGCTAGAGCTCGAGCCGCCCGAGCTGCTCGACTGGTGCGCCTGCTTGCTGAGCACCTTTCGGCGGAGTTCGTCACCCGAGGCGCGGCCGGCGCGGCTCGGCTGGCGCTGCGCAGAGACAGAGCCCGAACTGGAGCTGGACGCGGCCGAGTGCGGGTCGGCCAGCGGGCCAGAGCGCGACTTCATGCCCAGTTTGCTGATGATTTTACCCACGTCCGGCGAGCTCTGACCGGACTGTGAGCGCGGCTGGGCGCCGCCTCCACCGGTGCCGCTCACAGAGCGGATCGCCTCGCGGGACGCCTCCAGTGCGCGCTCCAGGGCCGAGCTGCGCAGAGACACCTCCGAGGCAGAACCCACAGAGGCAGGACGGCCGGAGGCGGCAGCGGCCGAGCCCGGCCGCGGCGACTCCTGCGAAAAGTACTCCTGTGAGCTGGCCAGGTTAGAGAACTGGCTGAGGGTGTCGTCCTGCGCGCGGCCGCCGGTGCCGAGCCCGGGGGACAGCTCCGGGTCCGAACGGGCGCCCGTGCGTGAGAGCACGCTGCCGGTGGAGGTGACATCGGGCTGTCGGGCGGCGCCGGAGTCGGCAGTGACGCCGGCCGGGTCGGCGCTGCCCTCCTGACCCGTGGTGCGGGACGTCTGCTCGAGGATAGTGCTCAGTTCGTGCGGCGCGCTACCCTGCACGGCGCCGTGGCTCAGTGACGGCGGCGGCCGCGGTCGCAGCGAGCCCGAGCTGCGTGCCGCTGCCGCCAGCCCGGCGGCCGAGCCGCGCAGCTCGTCTGCCATGTTCGAGTAGCTTCGCATCAGCTCATCGCGCCGCTGCTGCACCTCGGAGAGTTTCTGCATGACCTCATCGTAACGCTGTGTGTAGGGGTCTGACACCGCAGCCCCCGCCGCCGCCGCAGCGCTCTGTGACGGGTCCTCTGAGTAGACTCCGGAGGTTCCTCCAGCCGCTTCAGCACCGCCGTCGCCAACGTCAGCTGTCGAGCTGCCCGGCGAGGCGGCCGTGGCAAAGGTGGCGTCCGCTGCGCCGCTGCGGGACAGCGAGCCGCCGGAGGCCGAGCCGTACACGGTCGATGGCGAGGAGGCGGGCATGCTTAGCTGGGAGAGCCGCTCGCGACTCTCGTCCAGCAGTTGACTGACGTACTGGCGCAGCTCACCGTGCGATCCCACGGCGGCCGGTGCACCCTGCAGCAGACCGGCGGCCAGAGCAGGGTCCCCGGGGTCGCCCGGCGCCGTCCGGTACGCAGTGGTCGTCGAGTCGAAGGTTGGTTCGTTGGGGGCGGCGGCACCGCTGCTGGCTAGAGCCGACAGATCTGACGAGCGAACCGTCGAGACGTCGGAGGTGCGCAGCGACGAGAGGTCGGCCGTGCGCAGAGAGGATACGTCTGGGGAAGTGGCCTCCGGCCGATCCGGGCGGGCCACCGGGTAGATACCGTCCGGACCGACGTACATCTCCTGATCTGGCTCGTCAGCCCCGTATGGCGACTGGCCTCCGCCGTCCGCCGTCTCATCCTCTTGTCCGTACATCTCTTGCCCTTCCTGGCCATACATTTCTTGACCCTCTTGACCATACATCTCCTCGCCTTGGCCGTACATTTGCTGACCCTCCTGGCCGTACATCTCCTGACCTTCTTGACCATACATCTGACCCTCCTGGCCGTACATCTGTCCTTGCTGGTCGTACATTTGCTGACCATCCTCACCATACATCTGACCCTCCTGTCCGTACATTTGTTGTCCCTCCTGTCCGTACATTTGTTGTCCGTCCTGTCCGTACATTTGTTGTCCCTCCTGTCCGTAAATTTGTTGTCCCTCCTCGCCGTACATCTCCTGTCCATCTTGTCCGTACATCTCCTGTCCATCTTGTCCGTACATTTCCTGTCCCTCTCCGTACTCCGGCTGCTGGGCGAACATGGACTGCTCACCGTAGCCGGGCGGGGGCTGCTCCTCCGTTGGGTAGCCCTGGCTGCCCTCCAGCCCACTGGCATACTGTTCCTGCTCGGTAGCCGCCACTGACCCGTCCGTCGGCCACTGGCTCGTAGGATCAGCGCCGGACACACTCGAGTACTGAGACTGGTCCATGGAGGGCTCCTCATCGGCGGCACTCCAGGTTCCCGGAGCGCCGGGCGCCTCTGCCCCCGGAGCCGCAGCGCTGGTCGGTGGCGGCCCGGCCGCCATCAGCTCTGCGACATGTCGACCGTGACGGTCGAACTCGGCCGCTAGGTCGCGCGCAGGCGTGACAAACTCGGCGCTTTGGTCGCCCTCAGACTCGGCGTCGGCCGCCAGCAGCAGGGCGTCCTCGAACAGCTGGTTCAGGCGCCGCTGCCGCTCCTCATATGAAGCCACTCCGCTGGCCTCCTCCTGGGTCAGAGAAGCAGTGGCGCGCGCCAGCTGCTGCGCCGAGCCGACGCCGGAGACCCGTCGTTCGCGGCGCTCCTCGGCCTCGACACGTTCTAGCTCACTCAGCAGTCGAGCGTACTCGCTGCGCGCGCTCATTCGTCTCTGCGCCTGCCGGCCACGCTCCGCCGCCGCCTGTTCGCGCTCCTGCTGACGGAGGCGCTCGGAGCTGGCGCGCGCCTGCTGCAGCTCCTCCTGCTCTCGAGCTGCGGCGCGCGCGTCGTATCCGCTCTGCTCGCGGCGCACCTGATACTGTTCGGGCGGCGGACGCGTCTCGCTGCGCAGCGGCACGCCGGCGGCGGCGGGCGGCGCGCGGCCAGTCGAGGTCGAGCTCAGCTGACGCTGCAGCTCAGACGGCGTCAGCGCCGACTCCGAGTGCGGCACGTCCGTGACAGAGGCGCTGCTGGTGCCGGCCGTCGGCGCGTCCGAGCGACTCGACGATCCGCCGCCGCGCGATGTCCGGGACGTCTGCGGCACGCGGGACGATGTGGAGGCGCCGGAGCGACCGGCTGAGCCGGACCGAGCGGCCGAGCCCGACCGGCCCACCGAGCCCGGACCCGACCCCGGAGCAGGCTGCGGCTCCGGCTCCGGAAACCGGGTGCCCGTCTTCTTGTCACGGCTCAGCGTGCGCGTCTGGCTGCCGCGGTTAGCGGTGGGGTCACGCGCTAGCATACCGCGATCAGCTGTCTGCTGGGCGCGCGCTCGCTTGCACCGGGGCCTCGGTCTCGTTTGCACAGCGTCATCGCGAAACGAGACGCGCGGCCGGAAGGCCGACTGGAAGACGACAGCGGCGGCGGACGCGGCGGCGCTCGACTGCGAGACGGTCCCCTGTCTGTGCTGGTCCTGCTGCTGCTGACGGCGCTCCTCCAGCAGGCGCCGCTGGTGTCCCTCCTGCGCCACCCGGTCGGCACGCACCCGCTCCAGCGCGCGGTTCAGCTCGCGCAGCGTGTCGACGCGCCGCTGCTCCTCGTGCAGCTGGCGCTGGCTGTCGCGGACGCGGCGCAGCGCGGCCCGCTGCCGCTCCTCGGCCACCTGCTGCTGCTCGGTGGCCAGCAGCCGTTTGGCGCCGCTCAGGTCCGGCTGTCGGGCGGCGGCCAGGTGCGCGGCGCCCACCTGGCGCAGGCACGCCGAGTACTCGGCCTCCAGGTGCTGCAGCTTGTTCTCCTTATCGGCGGCATACTCGGCGGCTACCGCCTGTTTGACCTTGGCCAGCTGACGAGCCGACTCGGCCTGCACGCGCTGGCGGGTGCGGCCGGCGGCGCGACTGGCCTGCTGGCGCACCTGGACCAGCCGCGCCTGGCTGCGCCGCCGCCGCTCCTCCTGTATCACCTCCTGGCGCTCGGTGATGGTCAGGCGGTACATGACGCATCACGGATGTGGTCCCAAGCTAAAACGGACACAGAGAGATAACCATAGTTAGGTGAGCGTTATGTTCCATACTTATTGCAAACAATTTTCTTTAAAAGAATTATTTTAACATGACATATGTCATGGGAATAGAAATAAAACACCAAAAATTGACAAACCCACCAAACCCATCCTTATAGCTGTATAAGTTTATTGGACACCCATGCAACAAAATGTGGTGTGCCATATATGATAATAGGCATAGTTAAAGCAAAATAATGCTGAAATGCAGCAGAATTTTGAATAAAAAATGATTGTTCGTATAGCTGTAGGCAATAGGCTGCATAGATACTGTAGGTAGGTAATTTAGTATGTAGGACAGGTAAGTTGGCTTTAGGTAGGCCAGGTTGGTTGTTTTATGTGGCTTTATTTTAAAAATATTTTCAAACCATAGAATTCAGCAGCATCCGTGCCCCATAGGTACAACTAACTGTGCCATAACATTGTTAAATTGCTCTGTGATTCAGATCTTTCCAAATCGCACCAAACACGTTTTTTAATTTTTATACAACTTTATCTGGAGAATCGATATATATACAGTGTAGATGCACAATTCCAACCAAATTTCTATGACCGGGTGTCATACCTACGTTCCATGTGGGCTGGCGCATGTCATGTTTTCTGGGTTCCTTCAGTCCTCCACTGACAACATCCTACCATCCTTTGTATGATGCAAAGTGTTGAAAAACCCAACCAGCCACCAGGTAGGATAACCAGGTAAGGCATGGCACGTCATGTGGGTGCCGCTGCCACCCATGGGCCATGGGGACTGGGGAGCAATACAGCCCCCTTGAGATCTCGGAAAATTACTGTCCTATTTTCAAAACTCAACCTGAACCAGCATTCGATAGCCACACTGGGGAACTACCATGTCAATGTGACCCAATCTGCCAATGCCATCACAATCAACCTCAACCTCAACGACCTTAAACGACAATTTTGGCTCGAGTCAGAGTAAAAGATAATTGGTGTTTACTCTTTCCTTTCAGCTTAAATTGTCAATCGACATAACGAATTAGAAACTCAAAATTTTCGTTAGAACATTCTAGTACCAATTCTTACCTTAAAATATCATCTGAAATACAACAAATCCGACAACTGAAATACTGTTTATAGCATTTCTCGCATTTCTTCAGAAACAAATTTGAATTTTTGCCAAAATGAAAGCATCAAGCACTCCACAAACGTATTTTATGAAAATGCTTCCAAATCGCTCCATATGAAGTAAAATAGGGGAAGTACATTTCGCTCATGCGAACCATGCTTGCGATGGCTTTTGAGAAAAGCATTATCCAAATAAGGAAGAATTGCGTCACTTGCACTGATCTTCAAAAAGTTGGCTTCTTGTCCAAAACTTCATCATCTCCAGCTGGCAGCTGGATCAAGGCCTAGACAATGGCATAAGGCACCTTGCATGCGATTGCAGCGTCACCATGTTCTATACCTTATCTTCAGTTCACAAAAAGATCTATAGATGTCGCAGTTGGTAGTAACGTAACTGCAATGGAACAAATCGACTGATCGGAGATTCGTTAGGAGAGGGCTTTCTATCATTTTCTGAACTCTACAGATGAAATACTAAGTCGAGTCAAGCTAAGGTGTTAATTCACTTAAAGGGACCCTCCCACCTTAACATTAGTTTTGAGTTGAGATAGCCAAGTTTGCGGCCAGGCTCAGAAACCACCATTTATCCTGGTCGCAACCCCCGCAGCTTTATGGTATTCAAGAAATTTCTTCCCTTTACTTGCAGGGTGGGACCAGCTTGGTCCCTATCTCTTAACCATTACGGGAATCTGATGACGTCATCAGGCTTTCGAACGTCCGTCATTAAGTTTGACTAAAACGTTTTGTAGCACGCGGTGGTATATGCTATTTGCGCGCAACATCTGCCGCAAACGCCGCACTTCTAAAATAAAGTCGCTAGAAACAGCGGAGATCCCAAAAAGTAAACAAAAGTAAAAGTCTAATATCTTGAAAACCGGTGAATATTTTTCGGTGAAATTTGGTAGATATTCGTTTTCGCTCTTTCTGAACCGAGCGACATCACTTTCATGCCAATTCATAAACTTTTTTGAAGGTGGGAGGGTCCCTTTAACTTATTTGTGCAAGAAATAGGCCCTACTTCAGAAATTGCGCCGGTAGACGGTAGCTTGGAATTGTTGTTAAATTCACGAATATCCCTAGGTATGTGTCCAAACATGACACTGGATTTGGAAAAATATTGTATGGATTTAACATTGCATGACTGCATGCTGCAAGTAATAATCGTTTTAACAAGGCATCTGCTTGCAGGGAACAGAGCTTTCCCAATATCAGTCTAAAAATGGAAAGTGTGGCCTCTTCTTTCTACCCGGTAACCCCTCCCCCCCCCCCCGTGTGGATGTCGGCAACAGTGAAGTTTGGAATTTACCCCTCCCCTCCCCCTCCATCCTATCCTCCAGTCCCCCCTCGTCACACGAAGTCACTCGCAGACTCGGAACTCGGAAGCGAGCGGCCGAGTGCCCGGCGGCGACGGGCAGTCAGCTGTCGTCTGTATTCCTGCCACCCTGGCAGAGGCTACATTCTTGGCGTCAGCGCAGCGGGCAGAGGCCGTTTGCTGACGTCATGTCGCGTCCCAGTTTCCGGCGCGGACGGCGTCGACCGCCATTGACCGTTGCGGAAGGGCGTATTTCGCCGCGTGGAGGCTGTGATACACGTTTTCGCCTGCACGGGGATCCATGCAAATGTGATCATTACGCCGAGGCTCTGTGGACTACGTACAATGAGCCTTGCTGTCTAAGGTTGGTTCGAGCACGCGGTACTGCCAGTCCCAAGATCCCAGACGCCTAGAAACGCTCGAATTTATCTACCTATCGAAGTCTTTGGTTCAGCCTTGGTGGTAAATCACCAGTGAAAATTCAATGTGAATGCTGTGCGAGGTCATCCGTCCTTAGGTTCGGTGCATTGGAGATTCATCCCTGATGGCTGATAAATGATACGGCTGTACATGATCTTTTCCCCCAAAAGTTCCTCTTTTTGCGTAGGCTATCCTGCATGAGTCGCTTCTCGCTGTGTCAATATCGCCACATGTTCTGTAGCAACCCTTGTGCGTGCCCCCGGGGCCTTTGTCCCCGCGTCGGAAGCACATCGATCTCATCGCTGCGTCAGGCTATCCGGGTAAAATTGGAACGGCCCTGAACGCGGCGGCGCGGCGCACTCGGCGGCCGGCGGCCGGCTCCCCGCCATGACAGCTCCACCGGCCGGGCGAGGCGCTCGTTCCAGGGTCGCTGGCTAGAAGCGCCAGCCAAACCGGCGTAGGAAATTAATTTTGGATCCGGATTTGTGCCGTATCATCACCATGTGACCTCGTGACACCGTAAGAAACAAGGCATGCCCATGGGCTTGCTCCAGTGGTCAGCTGTGAAAGGATCAAGCTTGTGCTTAGGCGCCCCGACGAGCGGCCGGCGGCGGCCCGTCGTGCGTGTGGTGGGGGCTCGGGTAGGCTCCCCCTAGCCGCCATGTGGGGAGGGGGTGGTTCCTGGGGTGCTTTTATCGAACACTCTGGACTGTGACATCCAACTAATCAACCTTTCCCGCATATCTGATCCATCCGAAATTGTTCGTTTTTTAGTAGTGCTGGGGCGCGTCGGGAATCGATCCCACCGCGGCCGGCGGTCCGGTCCTTTGCGGCGCGACGCCGACCGACGTACCGTGACGTGGCGCCCTTTGCCCGGCTGGGTCATCGGACGCACCCGTGCCGGTCCCCGGTCACGGCCACCCATAATTTTATGCTCATCCATGCAATTTTAACTCTATAATACTAAGAAAACTACGTGACGTTCAAATTGTGAATGATATTCTGGAGATGTCCTCGACCACCACGAATTTTCTGTAAAACATTCAAAATCCCCGTGAAGCGTTTTCTGAAATATTTTGTTGTGGGCGCTTTAATCTTTTTTGGCAATCAAATTACGTGAAGTTTCATCATATGATTTTTCATATGCATTGCGCGCCATTTTCACCGAGAACAAAATTACGGATCAGGAATGACTGCAGGGCGTCTGGATGTGGGCCGATATAATCACCCCAAAATGATAAGAATTTATCAAAGGAAAAATGGGAAAATATTTTATTTGCTTCATCAAATGCAAAATTATCGCGCAGTCCCAACTCGACGATTTGAAAGGTTCAAGAAAAGCTTGGCTATATGCATTTTTCATCACGAATCGGTGAGTGCAACTTTTATCTGAATCAAAATGTCCGGGGGACACTTTCCCCTGTTCACACAGGACGTTTTGACCTTCCTTAGTAACTAACTGCCAGTAAAGCCCATGAATCTCGACGTCTTACCCGCGCGTCACTGGGGGGCCCACTCCCGTTTTTCTGTTTTATCTTCTAAATCGCTGGACATAGGCGCGGGAACTGGGGGGGGGGGGTAGTGGGGGCAGCCTGTCAGTGCCCCTACAACTCTGGGGCCGTGGGGGCGCTGTCCCCACAACTTTTCATAGGGCCAGGAACCTTCGGGGCAGCTTGTCCTCCCCAAATTAGTGGCTGTGGGTCACAAAGAAAAACTGAATGGAAACTATAAAATAAACAAAAAATCCCCCTCTTTCCCTTGCTCCACAACTCATGTGGCAGATTTAAACCTTCATTCCAGGTTACCAAGAAACTCATCGACTCAGCTGAGACGGAATACCTCACTTTTTTGCATACGTTCTCGTTTTATAAGGCCAAGGGGTGAAAAATAAGTGGCCTAAATCCGGTGAAAAAACTAGATTTGGGGGTACCCTAGTTTCGGGAAGTATCAGGTGCCCCCCCCCCCCCCCCCCCAGCCTTGAAAGTAGTTCCCGCGCCACTGTCGCTGGACGTATCAACACGAAACTTGTAGTGCCTTGGGCTACATCAATTGACACCCTGTGTCCAGACAAAAATTCGTAGCTATCATAGGTCGACCGGAAATGACGCCAGAGTGACGTTATGCTCTGCCGATTTTGATTCATAACATTGAACAACGGTCATCGCTCTCAAAAGCTCAGTTTTTAAGCTAGATCCAATTTATTTGCATGAGAGGACTCCGAATACACAGGGTTATCAAACTGCTATCTCGGATTTTCAAAATTTGCATTTTTTTAATTGCACACAAGACCATAAATATTTTATTTTTGAATTTTCTACAATAAGTTTTTGACTCATCGAAAAAAACGGAATATATGTTATAGAATTTATACCGATGCTTTACTCTAGGAAGTTTTAGCTCCATATATCTTCAAAAATGGATTAGTTACTTATACGCTTTGTAGTAAATATTTCAACATTTTCAATTTTCAAAAAAAAAATCAGCATGTTATTGAAACTTTACACCAAAATGAATAGCACCATCGTGTTCCTGAGCTCAAACTGCATCTGATGAGACATTTTTTAAATCAACTTCAAAATTTGACCTTTTTTACCTGAGTGACCTGACCTTGGCTATGTCCAGCTAAAAGAGGCCTCGAACGACACAGACGACACTGTTTCATAATTCTATAGTTGAAATATCCCATAAAACATGTCACGTGACCGATGCATGATGTAACATTTCCGTGACCTAGGATGACCTGGCTTTGACCTGATAAATTCAAAGTACAAGTTCTGTACTCTCGTGGTATCGTAGGCGAGTGTGTACTGTGTAAACGTATCAACGAGTGTGTAAACCAAAAATGAGCCTGATTGGATTCGTAAGCCGGCGGTCGGACGGAGGCCGGAGCCCATGTTGTGAACAAACTAAAATGTTCCTAAGTTTTACTTTGACCGTACCTGTGACGTCATTGGTGACCTCGAGGTCCATGAAATAAGGTTTTTAACGGCAGTTTGTCCAGGGCTGTGAGACGCCGTTTAAATTTTAACAATCGGCCCAGTAGTTTCGGAGATAGGAGGGGGGCTCTGTAGAACCTTCCCCCTCCCCTCCCAGTCAACCTTGTTATGGAAAATACCCCAGTCATGCGCGAGTTTAAGGCATTGCCGTTTGCGTAGTTCCAATAAAGTGATTAACGTTGTAATAGTGAAACTAAATTGAATTGATAACGTCGCAACTCGCAGCCACCGTTCTGGCGGCGCTTTATCCGAAATGAGGGCATTCGCTTCAGCTACCAATGCCTGTCCTTTTTCCGTTTCTATTCTTTTTCCGGTGCAGGAGTCAGGAGGGGAAGATAATAGTTGATGCCGTTATAATGTCTGATGCCCCTTCTCAGCGATTAGGCAACACGAAACAAAATCACAAAATTTGATGAGCCGTTTGGACGGTAGCCTCGTGTCCGAAAGTCTTTTTACGGTAAAAAGCGGTTCTTTATTATCACAAGTCAAAGGTAATGGGCGATTTTAATCAGTTTTTTTTTTTTAAATAAAAATGTGCATATGTAGGTATAACGAACTTTGAACTGGCACAAAAAGCACAAATAAAAACGAGATGCAAATCTGTAAAATGACATGCAGAGGCTAACTTTTGGGACAGTCAGGATAGTTTTGTCAAGTAACTATATTACCTCCATTGCCTCGAGTCATTGGTAAATTCAGAGAAGGGTCTCAAAATTGAGTGGGAGAGGGCATAGCAGTGGTGACCAGGGCTGCGGAGTCGATGGATTTTCGGCGACTCCGACTCCGACTCCGGCTTTCAAAAACCAGCTCCGACTCCGACTCCGACTCCGTGCAGAATTGTCGACTCCGACCGACTCCAACTCCAGACTCCGACTCCGCAGACCTAGCAGGGCTGCGGAGTCGACAGATTTTCGGTGACTCCGACTCCGACTCCGGCTCGGGTTTCTAAAATCGACTCCGACTCCGACTCCGACTCCGGTCACAACTGTCGACTCCGACCGACTCCGACTCCGACTCCGACTCCGACTCCGCAGCCCTGGTGGTGACGGAACTATTTTCTGTCTGAGGGGCACACCTGATATTCCCCGGTGTGATTTCATAGCGTAGATCAACCTAAGATTCTCCCAAGGTTTTCACCGGTTTTAGGCCATTCACTTTTCACCGAGAATAAAAAACGAAAACGTTTCTTTTTACGTCACAACTTATTCCGTCCCTGTTTGGTAACCTGTAACAGGTCGCACTTTCTGTGGACCAACTCATGCTGAAACTTGCTAACACTACTTACGAGTATCTGTCCAGGCTGACGGTCACTCGACCCTAACAAACGCAGAGTGCAGTTTAAGCAGAGCATGTCTGTCCCCAGCACCAAAGGTCCTTGAGGAAAAGTGGGGGCAGTCAGCCCCACAGCCCCAAAGTTGGGGCCAGCTGCCTCCCCCCTCCCGGCTCCCGCGCTTATGCTGCCCGGCACGGCATATAGTTTAGTACCCAAATGCTCGTCCATTATCATGGCCTTTCGCTTCGTTACGCCCTGGGCCCCTGCTCCGCGGCCAAAAACATTTTTGGTTACATTGCGTACAATACTAGTCTGGTATGTAAGCCAAACTTCCCTCAACCGTGAACCGACCATCAGCAGTTTTCGACATTCCCACTATTTTATTGAATTGGATTAGTTGGTTTCTGTCTCAGACGAATAAACCCTAATGCTGATTGGATACCAATCCCTCAAACATTTCTTGCAAATATGTAGTGACAGTCCTGGTCGACTTTGCGTCATCCGTATTTTCACGATAAGCGTCTCTATTTCAGATAGGTAATTTTCAGTTTTTTTTTATTAAAACGATCTTTTACGGGCTTGCTTAGCTACGCAAGGGTTCTTAGTTCCTATCAAGATACATTTTGGCGTGTATACCTACCAGCAAAATTCAAAATTGCATCCGCGCCCGTCAGAACAGGCGTAGGATCCGGAGGTTGGCAGTTGGCACTCGCCATGGGATATTAATTTTGATTAATTTTTTAAATTTGCTGGTGTTGGTGAACGGTGAACCGAGCTGCGGTCTGCGGTATTTACACTAAGTTACAGTAATTGGAAGCACTCTTCCTGGTGCTCTGCCCAGCTTCCATTTATTTCGCTTCGTTACATAAGATAAAAGGAACAGCGGGTAGACAGTGCAAGAGAAGAAAAACTTCGACATGAACTGGAGCCCTCAAAACCACTGAGCATCAGCAAAAAAAAAAAAAAACGGATTTTCAATGTTATGCAGTACACGAATCCTGCCTCTAGCATGTAACATGATCCATATGGTCCACATTCCCTGCAACATGACCCTCAGCGCGTTGAATGGCGTCTCCTTTCTTCTTGCGTCAGGTGGTCGCCGTCAACCTGCTGTTTTACGTTCTGATTTGGTCCTACGTATGTAAGTTCTAACTTCTATCGATCTAACCGAACAACCTGCTTACCAATAGCCCCCCCCCCCCCCATTGGGCGCCTCGTTGGAAACGTTCCGAGCGCCCCAGGCGGGCAGTTGGTTTCCGCACTGCGCACGGAACGGTCCTGCGCGGTGGTAGCCTCTGCGCAGTTCCGCCGTCGCCTTGTCGGCCGCGTCTCGTGATAACGTCACCGGGGCGGGGGATCACGGGGCAAGGGGCAACGATATGACGCATCGGGATGGCTCGAATGATAATTCATGGGCTGGGGAAACTCAGGTTAACGAAACTTTGGGCCGTGATATATTTATTGATTTCGAGCTATTGTATGTGCATAGTGAAAGTGCTTGCTAGGCGGTTTGAGGACCACTGAATATTAACCAGGGCACCGCCGGACGAAGCCCTGCCTGCTGGTCCGTGTCGCGAAGGGCAGGGGCGGATGTAGCCGCATTTTTGGGGCTTGACTTATCATGGACAATCATTCGAGCTTGAACCCAGAACCGCTTGAATCATTTGAATGCGAGCCGTCAACCTGCAGCATTTTTTTCTGGTCGGGGACACTGAATCTAGATCCGTCATCGTAAGCCTGTGGATGTTGGTAAGGATAGAATTCAAAGGCATTTAGCGTGTCCTCCGATCAACTCCTCTCCCTGTTTGGCTGTGAAAGGCCGTCAACACCCGGGTTTATCTTCGCCTCCAGCTCTGTGCGAGCCACCGCTTCGTCAAACCCGGGTGGACGACGAGGGTCGTTTGGGAACAAAGGACAGGACGGTGATGATGGGGATGGTGGGTGGGCAAACACTCCGCGCACCCCTCGTGCACCGCGGCTCGGCTCACACTGCGCGTGTTGTCGGCCGACCACGGCGGGCCGCCGCGGTTCTGTTTGTTCTTCTCCACCCTTCTCGTTATCGCCCCCTCCCCCTCCCCCTTCCCTGGACCCCACTGGCTCGGTGTCGCGTCGTGTCACCTCGGCCCGCTAATCACGATTCAACGTCCCGTTAATGCTTGATTAGCGTGTCCTCCGATCAACTCCTCTCCCTGTTTGGCTGTGAAAGGCCGTCAACACCCGGGTTTATCTTCGCCTCCAGCTCTGTGCGAGCCACCGCCAAACACCCCAAAGGAACCAAGGGTATGTGTATTCATACTAGATTATGCGCGCGTGTCCCGTTCACAGGGTTCACAGGCGGTACCTGTCAGCGCGTGGGTTCCACGGCTCGGGTCCTGTGGGTACTCCGCCACACACGATGGGGGCCGGACCGGACACTGGCCCGCCTGTGGCCGCAGCCGCCGGAAACCGCGCCAAGTCGTGCCGACTGAGCGCGTCGGCCGCGCCGTTCTCTTTCGTTGCCACGTACTCGACGGATACAGCGAACTCATGGAACGCCGTCCAGAACAGGGGCTGACGCAGCAGCGCCATAATCAGTGGCGACCCCGACCATCCCCTCCCCCAGACCCCCACCACCCCCATGTTATCGGACCGGATCAGCACGCGGTGCCCGCCCCATCTCTCTCCCCACACCAAACGGTCGCCAGGTCATCCTGTTCACACGGCATGTACGGATCAGGTCACACCCGCCGGTCGTGGCCATGGCACGACGGGGACCACAGTTGCCAGGTCCTCCTGTGCACACGGCATATACGGATCAGGTCACACCCGTCGGCCGTGACCATGACACGACGGGGACCACAGTTGCCAGGTCATCCTGTTCACACGGCATGTACGGATCAGGTCACACCCGTCGGCCGTGGCCATGACACGACGGGGACCACAGTTGCCAGGTCATCCTGTTCGCACGGCATGTACGGATCAGGTCACACCCGTCGGCCGTGGCCATGGCACGACGGGGACCACAGTTGCCAGGTCCTCCTGTGCACACGACATGTACGGATCAGGTCACACCCGTCGGCCGTGGCCATGACACGACGGGGACCACAGTTGCCAGGTCATCCTGTTCACACGGCATGTACGGATCAGGTCACACCCGTCGGCCGTGGCCATGACACGACGGGGACCACAGTTGCCAGGTCCTCCTGTGCACACGGCATATACGGATCAGGTCACACCCGTCGGCCGTGGCCATGACACGACGGGGACCACAGTTGCCAGGTCATCCTGTTCACACGTCATGTACGGATCAGGTCACACCCGTCGGCCGTGGCCATGACACGACGGGGACCACAGTTGCCCGGTCATCCTGTTCACACGGCATGTACGGATCAGGTCACACCCGTCGGCCGTGGCCATGACACGACGGGGACCACAGTTGCCAGGTCATCCTGTTCACACGGCATGTACGGATCAGGTCACACCCGTCGGCCGTGGCCATGGCACGACGGGGACCAACGTTGCCAGGTCCTCCTGTTCCCACGGCATGTACGGATCAGGTCACACCCGTCGGCCGTGGCCATGACACGACGGGGACCACAGTTGCCAGGTCCTCCTGTGCACACGGCATGTACGGATCAGGTCACACCCGTCGGCCGTGGCCATGACACGACGGGGACCACAGTTGCCAGGTCATCCTGTGCACACGGCATGTACGGATCAGGTCACACCCGTCGGCCGTGGCCATGACACGACGGGGACCACAGTTGCCAGGTCCTCCTGTGCACACGGCATATACGGATCAGGTCACCCCCGTCGGCCGTGGCCATGGCACGACGGGGACCACAGATGCTGGCCTCGCTAGGCGCACGGTGTCGTGGTCAACTAGATACCCACCCCTCTCCGTCACGCCCACTTCTATAGCGCCCGTCGAACGGTCCCACCCCCCCCCCCCTATCCCGTCTCCTCGTGGCCGTTCTACCTAGATTCTTCCCCCCCCCCGCAGCCTATCGCTGCGCCCACCTGTCATCCTGCGTCCGTCTCCTGTCGCTCCGTTGATGTTGTCCTGTTATTCCGTACACCAAACCGCGCACTTATATCGCGTTCTTCGCGCGCGCCGCGCGAGAAACACTCCGCGCACCCCTCGTGCACCGCGGCTCGGCTCACACTGCGCGTGTTGTCGGCCGACCACGGCGGGCCGCCGCGGTTCTGTTTGTTCTTCTCCACCCTTCTCGTTATCGCCCCCTCCCCCTCCCCCTTCCCTGGACCCCACTGGCTCGGTGTCGCGTCGTGTCACCTCGGCCCGCTAATCACGATTCAACGTCCCGTTAATGCTTGATATTTGGCCTGGGGGTCATTACTCCCGACTTTTTGTTGTCCTCGGAACGAAATCGTGTTCCATTCACCCGACTGATAAGTCCCGACGGTAACCTTGGGGCTTCTGTTGTTTGTCAGGAACAGCAATGGACACTGACGACGAGCGTTTGGAGATTGTCGAGGAGCCGTGCGGGGACCAGGAGGGGCCGGACAGCCCCGACGACGGCGCACAGTGGACCGGGTCGCCGGTGGACCCGCAGCCGCACTCGCCCTCGTACGAGGGGGCCGGGTACCGCTCCGACGAGCACCCCCAGTCTCCCTCAGAGGAGGGAGAGGAGTCACAGTCAGAAGATGAGCAGCAACCTCAGTCTCCCTCGGAGAAGGCAGAGTCACACTCCGAAGGCGGACAGCTCGAGGAGAGAGAAGCAGAGTCGAATTCAGAGGACGAGAGGCACCCCCAGTCGCCTCAGGAGGCAGCCGAGTATCACTCAGATGACCAACCACAGTCGCCGTCCGAAGAGGGGGCCGAGACGCACTCAGAAGACGAGCACCCGAAGTCGCCGCAAGATCACAGTCAAGTCGAGTCGCAGTCGGGGGATGAAACCGTCCAGTCAGAGCCGGCCCCAGAGCCGATGGAAACGTCGACCGAGTTAGAGTCAGCCCAGTCACAGTCGCAGTCCGAGTCCCAGACTCAGTCTCACACCGCGTCAGAGTCACAGCCGCAGTCTCATGTGGAGTCAGAGTCACAGTCCCACGCTGAGTCAGACTCGAAGCAGGACGACTCGACGGCTCCGGCGTCTGACGCCGAGAAAAGTGCCGTGCAGTCGGACACTGAGCAGCCTGTCACGGCTCCCGCGGAGAAAGAGCCCAACCCGGACCTGGAGGAGGGAGAGTTAGAGGACGGAGAGCTGGAGGACGATGATGAGGACGAGGTCCCTCCGGTCGCCGCCAAGGACCCGGCTCCCAACGGTGACCCGACCACACCGGAGAAGCGTAAGGCCTCTCCTGAGCCGGAGAAGCCCCGCAAACACAGCCTGCTCAACCCCGAGTGGCTCACACAGAAACGCAAGGTGAGAAACGTGCCGTAACTCAAACTAACGTTGCGTCACTGGTCATTTACCGCTGTTTTAATTGCTCCTGAAATCAGGTCTGGTATGTTAATTTTGTTTCAGTATTTGGGACTGAACTAATTCATTTTTCGGTCGTAGACCCCTGTGATGTGTTTTCCTCCGCGGCCCAGAGCCCTGCCCTGTGTAGTGTGCCCAGCCCTGTGACCCCATGTCTCCCCTACTGCCCAGGCGCCGGACACGTCACCCCGTCAGACGGGCGGCGACGGCGGCGGCTACGACCCGCCCTACGGCCGCGGCCCGGAGCACGACTACGGAGACTATGAGGACGAGCTGGTCACCGGCGGCGGCATGGGCGGCCACCAGCGCTTCGGCAAGCGGCGCCGCATGGACCGCGGTCCGATGCACAAGTCGAACGCTATCTGTAGCTACTTCATGCAGGGAAAGTGCCAGAAGGTAGGATACATACCGCACTGTTATATATACTCTGCTCTTGGTACCTCACCGACAACGGAGCATCGGGGCTTTTGTGTGAAATGAAGTGATTGCTTTTCGATATTCGCCGCTATCATTATTTTAGGTTCTTGTTAAATGTGTCTTTTAACGTCAAAGTATTTCTTACGCAAACTCATACCATAGCTTGCCTTCCAGTTCGCTCTGTATCGTAATATATTTGTGATTTGTTTATGCTTACACACATCTCTTTCTTCGAACAGGGGCGAATGTGTTCCTACTCCCACAACGCAACTCCACCGCGCAAGATGGAGCTTTGCAAGTTTTACTTGATGAATTGCTGTGCCAAGAAGGAGAAATGTTTATACTTACATAAGGCATTTCCATGCAAGTTTTACCAGACTGGAGCCAAGTGTTACCCTGATAAGAAGTGCAAGTTCAGTCACGAACCTCTGAATGACATTTTCCGGCCGATTTTGTTGAAGGTGAGTCGACGACAGATATCTGGCAGTCAACACCATTGGCTTACTGGTTGATTTCGCCGTTCAACTTCTTCGTTTGAACATCATCTGTTGCTGCCTAGGAGTTTGCCATTGTGTGGGGATGGTGACGCATGTCTCGCTTTTTCTGTATGAGTGTGTATTTAGGACAACAGTTCATTAGTTCCCTAGTCATTGGATGTTCATTGGACAAGACAGTTGCCAACAGGTCTTCATTGAACTATACATAACCTACTTTTCCCATTTGGCTGCAGCACCTGGAGACGGCTCCTAAGGAGATTCTGGGCGACTTTCCCCGGATGACCCGACCAGACGCCAACCAGGTCATCGACGCGGCCGCCGCAAAGAGGAAGGACAACATCGAGCCCGACTTCAGCTTTCCCAACATGGAGCAGACCAGAAAGGCGCATCTCAGTGAGTGATCTATAATTGGCTGAAAAAGACCTACTATGACGTATAACTGCTAGCGACAATGCAATTTTATGTACAAAATGCTGTAACTATATTATAATCGCACAGTAGAAAGTATGGTAAGCCTGAGGTGGTAAGCAAGCAATTATGTCGTACTTCTTATAACGTGAGAAATGATGCAGAATACGGCAGTTATCAACGTTGTGGTTGTTTTGCAATCGATGCACCTGATTTGACGCCTCGGCACCGGTGTTTGTTTTCAGTAAACAGCTCGTTTGACCCGAGGAACCTCGAGAACGACCTGAGCGTGAGGTCGGCCAACCCTCTCGACTGGCCAGTGACGGAGCGGCTCGGCTGGGGTGGCGGCGGTAAGGATTGGAACGGCCACGACCGCCCCGAGTGGGGCGTCCCCGAGCGGCCGGAGCGGCCGGAACGCTTTGATCGGCCCGACCGCGACGGCAGGCCAGAGCGGGAGGGCAGGGACGGCAGAGACGACCGGGAGGACCGCGCCGAGCGACCCGAGCGCTTCGATCGCCCGGACTGGCAGGAGAAGCCGGAGCGACCCGAGCGACCGGAGAGACAGGACCGACCCGACCGACCCGAGAGGCCCGAGAAGTCGGAACGGCGCCGCGACCCGGCCAAGGAGGAAGAGCGCAGGGAGCGGCGAGAGCGGCGCGCGCAGGAGCGCCGGGAGCGAGAGGAGCGCCGACAGCACCGGCACCACCGGCGCCGCGGCGAGCGGGACAGCGCCGAGCGCGACCGCTCGCCGCGCCACCACGACCGCCACGAGCGCCGCCGGCGCCGGGAGGAGCGGCGCGCCGCCCGCGACGAGGGGCCGCCCAGCGGCGCCGAGGACGGCGACATCCGGCCGGTCGGCGGCGCCGGCTCCGACCCGGAGACGGCGGAGGGCGCGCCGCCGCGGGAGGAGCACCGCCAGACGCGGAGTCGCTCCGACGAGCGGACACCCTCGCCTCACGCCGACAGCGGCCGCTCGCCGCGGTCGGCCGGTCCGGACCAGCAGCGGTCGCCGCGAGACAGCTCGGACCGCGAGCGGCGGCCGTCGTCGGCGTCCCGTGAGCCGACCGGGGCCGAGTCTCCGCCGGCGGCGCCGGGCCCGGCGACCGACGATCTGCGCTCGCCTCCTGGCAGCGCCCGGGGACCGCGCAGCGTCCAGTCGCCACCCGGCGGCCAGGAGTCCGAGCCGCCCAACATGGACTACATCAACAGCCTGCCGGCCAGTCAGCGCCAGCTCTACCTGCGCATCCACCAGCACCAGAAGGAGCACGTGCCCAGAGAGGTGAGACGCGATACCGCCTACTGTGCATTTGCAGTAGGTGCTCAGGGGTCTCCCACGCTAACCAGCACTTTGTACATATATCTCTCACGGCCTACGTGGTGGTATATTTATGTGTTGATTATTTTTTATCACTTGCGATTCTGAGGCGATTAATTATCCTCTCTATCTAGATATATATTTCCTGGCTTGTAAATGAAATTCATAGCAAAGTGAGAAGTGTGCAAAATACAGCGATCGCTGTGAAGTGTGAACCTACCCTTACTTGACTTTCAACCCTTTTTTCCTCTCGTCAGGACACTCCTCAGCCGACCGAGGAGGACGAGGACCGGGCTGCCGACGACAACTGGTACTCGAGCGATGAAGAGGACGCGCCGCCCCTGACGGCAGTCCTCAAACAGATCTCCTCAGCAGAGGTAAATTTTTTAAACAGATCGCTCCGGCATATCGAGTTAGGTAAAGAATCAGTACCGTTTAGGGCATCACGTTTATGCACGTCATCTGAAGCACTCGGCTATGTTTCTGCTTCTTCATTTTATGAAGTAACAATATGAAGTGATTTATTTCTATTGAGTGTTTTTATTCAGTTGCCCTGCGGGTCGCTGATATGTGGTGAGTTGTGGAGTTCGTAACAAATTCTTTGTATTTTTATCCGCAGCAGAGCCAAACCGGCGACACGAACAGCGCAGCTGAGGAAAAGATGAACCCGACGGACGCTATCAATCAGATCCTGACCAGTATCCGGAAAAACACCACCTCCGAACAGGAGTCTCGGTGAGTTGGCCAGCGTTTATCGGTAGTTCAGAACCATATAGATGTTAGTGATGGTCAGTAGTTGGTACCTTATTCCACAACTGGATATTCTAAAATGTCTGCTATTAAATGCAGCCAGTTCAACGTGGCTGGAGGAAAACATAAATTCAGCTCAAGGTCCCGTAATTCGTTCAGTCCCCAGCCATACTGTCCACCGCCTATCTCTGACCGGCGCCTTTTCCCCGCAGCTCCGGTGATCCGCCGCGGTTCCCGGGTCCGGAGGGCGGTCGGCCGCGCCGCTCACACGAGGACGACTGGGACGAGCGGAGCGGGCGCCCGCGACGCGACTTCAACGGCCGCTCGCCGGTGCGGGACCAGGACGAGCGCAGCCGGCGGCCGTCGGCGTCGGCGCGGGACGTCGATGAGCGCGACTCGCGCGGCCGACGCGGCTCCTGGCGGGACGAGCGACGCGGCTCGGACGAGCGCGACGACTGGCGAGGGCCGCCGGACCGGCGCTTCCGTGACGGTGAGGGGCGCCCCGGCCGGCGAGAACCGCGAGATGTCGACCTGCGTGACCCGCGGGCTCTGCGGGGAGCAGACCCTCGCGACTCGGATATAGACGCCCGGGACCCGTGGCCTGTCAGGGACACGGATAATAGAGATCCGCGGGCATTGCGAGATGTTGATTCCAGAGATTCTCGCGCCGCACGTGATATTGATTCACGGGATCCTCGCGCTGCACGAGATGTGGATGCCAGGGACCCTCGCGCGCCACGAGACATTGATTCTCGGGACCCACGTGCAGCACGTGACGTGGATCCTCGCGATCCTCGTGCGGCACGAGACGTGGATGCTTGGGATCCTCGTGGGCCACGGGACGTAGATGCCCGGGATCCTCGTGGGCCACGGGACCTGGATGCCCGGGATCTACGTTCCGCCCGCGATATAGATGCTTGGGATCCGCGCTCAGCACGAGATATGGATCCCAGGGATCCACGGGCAGCACGAGATGTGGATCCGAGGGATCCTCGTTCAGCGCGTGATGTGGATCCCAGAGATCCCCGAAGTGGCATGCGGGATGTGGACACTCGCGATCCGCGCTCGGCACGTGATGTGGACATCCGAGACCCTCGGGCCCGGCCGGCGGACCCGCGCCGTGGTGGCGAACCCTCTGAGGGCATCTCCGGCATGGACGTGGACCTGCGGCAGCCGCCGGGCGGCCCGGCCTGGCCCACTCCCGACACAGATCTCCGTGTGCGCGACACGGACCTGCGTGTGCCAGACCGGGACATGCGCAGCACCGGCTGGGCCGAGCTGCCCGGCCCCATGGACTTCGACAAGGACGCCTCCGACCTGCCGCTGCCGTTCAAACCGGTCGACTTCAAGCCGTGCGTGGAGATCGACGCGTCGGTGAACTCCCACCCGCCGATGGAGTGGGTGGTAGTGCACGTGACCGTGGAGCGATTAGACTACTCGCAGCAGCGCTACCGGCTGACGGAGCCGCAGTTGCGCGCCGACCCGCGGCTCAAGGCGCACCGGCGCCGCAGCAGCCAGGAGGACAAGGCGCCGGCCAAGCCGCCCGTCATCCCCACCGAGCCCAACCGCGAGTACGAGCAGCAGCTGGCCATGGAGCGCGAGGACCCGCGCTACCGCGAGCCGCGGCCCGACCCGCGCCAGGACCCGCGCGCCGCCGCCGCCGCGGCCGACCCGCGCCGGGCGGCGGCGGCGGCGGCCGGCGCCATGCCGCCGCTGATGATGCCGCCGCAGCAGCAGCAGCAGATGGCGGCGGCCATGCAGATGCAGAACCGCATGATGTACCCGGCGATGCCGAAGCCCGGCCTGCTGGGCGTGATGCCCGGTGTTCCCGGGCCCGGTATGATGCCGGGCTTGTACCCGCCGGCGGCGCGGCCGCTGATGCAGCACATGCCAAACTACGGGCGGGGAGGGATGATGTACGGCGACGGCGGTATGGGGCGCGGCATGCACTCGCCCCTCGACGATCGTTAGCTCACGCCGCCGCGGCAGTGAGGCGGCACGGCGGCAGAGGTATAACTGCGGGCTTTCAGCGATACTGCGGAGCGGCGCCGGATCGCCATGTACGCTTTACGTTGGGGCACTACCGCCCGCCTGTTGACTTTTTGACCTGTCTGTATCTTGTGTCCTTTGTATAAGCTGTTAAGACGAACAAGTGTTGTAAAGAATGCAAATACAAAATGTCAACCTCGATCATGTATTGTTAGTTGCATTGAAAAAGTTCAATTACCAGTAGCATTCTAGCAGTCCCAAATCATAGGCAAACACAAAAGCTGAGTGCCCCCTGTATCCCGATTGCACGTTAGCCTCCTACAAGAGAAAAAATCAATTGCTGTACACTTTTCCCTCTTGTTCATTAGTATCCCTTCGGCGTCTCTCGACCACATGCGCCACATATGTCTCTGCAGAACCACATGCGCCACATATTGTCTCTTTTAGACCACCCTGCGTCACATCTCGTCTTCTGGGACCATTATGTCTCACATCTGCGTCTGCTCTCGGTTCGCCCGCCGCCAAGGCCTCTCACTGTTTGAGCGCCTCCTCCAGAAGGGTATCCTCCCTGACGCGATGTGCGCGCGTGACTCGCAGCAGTGGCTCGGCCTCCATCGCTCGGCCGATGGCCAGGTCGGCGTTATCGTTCCCGGACCAGCTCCTGTAAGGTGGGGGAGGGTGTTGGAAAGGTCAAACGAACCCGAGGGGACAAGGAGACAGAGTTGGTGGGTCACAGATAGAGGCTAAATTAGGGAGAAGTTGGATACGGGACGGCGGGAGAAGGACACTTACAGTGCTGGGAATTACGACAGTGACACAGAACAGCTGCAGGAATACTGGGGCTCAGGAGGGCACTGGGCAGAATAGGGGGCATGAATGACAAAGGGTGAAGAAGCAACGGTTAGTGTTGCGATTATTATGACGGCGTACATCGAAGAAATCGGGCTGGCGATGTGTTCGTTACCTCCTGGCGATGCCGTTGTTAACGTCCCAGTGCAGCATGTTCCTGGCTCGCTCGTCGGCTTCCGGCGAGCCGTCCAGCACCATCCCGAACCCGCCGTTCACCACTTCACCCCTGCGACCATGTGAGAAGGTGCATGACGTAAAGCAAGCGCAGAAACAATCGGGAGGGGAAGGGGGAGAAATGGACGTTCCCGAACAAGATGCAATCAACACGCACGGCAAGTGACAACGCTCCGAAAATGGAAAAAAATATTCCCCTCCCACTCCCTCTTTCCTCCTCGACCTCATTCCTCTCTCTCTCTCTCTCTCTCTCTCTCTCTCTCTCTCTCTCTCTCTCTCTCTCTCTCTCTCTCTCTCTCTCTCTCTCTCTCTCTCTCTCTCTCTCTCTCTCTCTCTCTCTCTCTCTCTCTCTCTCTCTCTCTCTCTCTCTCTCTCTCTCGCTCTCGCTCTCGCTCTCGCTCTCGCTCTCGCTCTCGCTCTCGCTCTCGCTCTCTCGCTCTCTCTCTCTCTCTCTCTCTCTCTCTCTCTCTCTCTCTCTCTCTCTCTCTCTCTCTCCCTCCCCTCACCAGCCGACGCCTCCTCCGTTGTGCAGCGAGACCCAGGTGGCGCCGCGGAAGGCGTCACCGATACAGTTCTGGACGGCCATGTCGGCGGTAAACGCCGAGCCGTCGTACACGTTGGACGTCTCGCGGTACGGCGAGTCGGTACCGCTCACGTCGTGGTGGTCCCGGCTGATAATCACCGGGCCCTGGCGCATGGACGGAGGGGGAGTGGACGATGGATTCGCCGGAGATCGAATCGACAGATAACATACGAGCATAACGTTATATCGGTGAATAAGTTCACCGTTACCTATATCGGAGAATAGTTCGTGGGCGAAAGAGTGAACGAATGAACGTGCCTACTTTGAGTGATTGAACCAAATTAATGCCAAATAAATTAAAGAGGAAACGAATGAAGAAGCAAGCAAATGAGTGAACGAGCAGGCGTACCGATTAATTAAATGAATGTTAACTAACGAGCAAACGAAATGCTGAATGAAAGAACGGTGAATGAAAAATTAGAATTTACGAGCGAATAAATATCTATGAATGAATGAATGAATGAATGAATGAATGTATGAAAACTAACGAGCTAATGAATGAATGAATGAATGAATGAATGAATGAATGTATGAAAACTAAGTACTAACGAGCTAATGAATGAATGAATGAATGAATGAATGAATGAATGAATGAATGAATGAATGAAGGAATGAAAACTAACGAGCTAATGGAACGAATGAATAAAAATAACGAGTTAATGAATGAATGAATGAATGAATGAATCCCACGCCATCCCACCCAGACAGTCCCGTTCGGTCTCTCCCTTGCCCCTATCAGTTACCTGCAGCGTGCCGTCTCGGACGGCCTCGTTGAAGGCCAGCGCGATGGCCGACCGTCCCCGGCAGTCGGAGTATAGGATGCGCGCCTGTGAGCCCACCACCAGGCCGTGCTGACCGGCCTCCCGGATCCAGCGCAGGTTGTCCCGGTACTGCTGGCGCACCGGCTCGGGCAGCTCGTCTAGGGAGTGGAGAGGAGGTTATACGAGAGGTCACAGCTGTACCAGAGGTCACAGTGGTACCAGAAGCCATAGTGGTACTACAGGTCACAGCGGTACCAGAGGTCATGGCGGTACCACTGAAGTCACATGACAGCGGTATCAAGGTCACAGCGGTACCACAGGTCACATGACAGCGGTATCAAGGTCACAGCGGTACCAGAGTAGAGATGTCAATCGGATACCAACTTTTTGGTATACCGATACCAAACCGATACCAACTTGGTATTTGGTATTTCAATCGTAATGTGTTTGGTATTTTGTTGGTATCATAGGCCCTCACTAATGTATTAGAGGCTAAGAAATCGGTAAAAAGTTGGTATTTCCCTCAGTTTCTCAAGTTGGTTTGGTTTCGGTATTCTCCCGTGGTTTTAGTTGGTATTTGGTTTGGTATCGGTATTCCGATTTTCCGTGATTGACATCACTATACCAGAGGTCATAACGGTACCGCATCAGGGATTACAGCGGTACCAGGGGTCACAGCGGTCACAGCGGTACCAGAGGTCACAGCGATATGAAATAGAGGTCACCAGGGTGCAGCACTATCAGACACCCTTCAACTTCGCATTCCACCAGGCGCGGATACAAGGGGGGGGGGGCCATGGGGGCCATGGCCCCCCCCCCTTGGCCGATTTTTTTTCAAAAATAAAATAAAAAGTTAAAAAGTTAAAAAGCTGAAAAGGGGGCCTCCTGAAAATAAAGTGGCCGAAATCCGATGAGTTTTTTTAACCTACCCACTTAGTTATTTCTTAGAAGACTAGCTGAGAAGACTTCTTTGTTAGAAGATTGGTAAAGCTTTTCATAACTTGGAGGTCTCTTATACTCACAGAGATGACCACTTTTACAGGGCCTCCTAACCTGCACAGAGGGCCTCCAAGCCTGCACAGATGTTGAGATGTTGCCTGAACAGCTAGATAAGCTCAATAGACGCAGTTTTTTTTTTTGGGGGGGGGGGGCCAACAAGTGGGAAGATGGGGCCTCCAACAGGTGGGATTATGGGGGGGGCCTCCTGGTTTCTAATGGCCCCTCCCTTGGAGATTTTCTGGATCCGCCCCTGCATTCCACCGTCCTCCATCCTCCCTCCCCTCACCTTTCATGATATCCTCCATGACCCGCTCGGCGATCCGGTCCGTGGTCGCCAGGTCCTCCGGCTCCGCAGAGGCGCACACCCAGCGGAACGGACCGAAGCCCAGGCTGAAGATGTCGCCCATGATGTCCTGCACGTAGCTCGGGTAGCGGAAGCGCAGGCCGGTCGGGTCGTCGGCGCGGTGCACGTTAGCTCCGGCCCGGCCCGCCTCGAGCAGGAAGGCGTTGCCGTAGTCCCAGAAGGCCATTCCCCGCTCGGTGAGGTAGTCGATGGCGGCTATCTGACGCACCAGCGACTCCTGCACCAGCTGCCGGAACCGGTCCGGCTCGGCGGCCAGCACTCGGCGCGCCTCGTCGTACCCCAGCTGGACGGGGTAGTAGCCGCCCGAGAAGGGCGCGTGGCACGAGGTCTGGTCAGAGCCGAGGTCGACCAGCAGCTCGCCGCTGCGCCGGTGCTCCTCCACCATCCGCTCCCACACGCTCACGGCGTTCCCGTGGAAGCCGATGCTGACCGGCCGGCGCTCCTGGCGGGCGCGTCGCACCCGCTCCACCAGCGAATCCAGGTCGTCAATCACCTCGTCCAGCCAGCCCTGCGCGTGCCGCTTGTAGATGGCCTCGCGGCTCACCTCAGCGATGACACCAACACAGCCGCTGACGGTGGCCGCCTTGGCCTGGGCGCCGCTCATTCCGCCCAGCCCCGAGGTCAGGAACACCCGACCAACCAGCTCGGCGGAACCCAGGTACAGACGGCCGGCGTTCAAGACCGTCAGCTGATGACAGGTCAGGTCAGGTCAGAAAAGGTCAGGTCAGGTCAGTGGTGCCCAGGTAAAGACGGCCGGCGTTCAGGACCGTCAGCTGGGCACAGGTCGGGTCAGGTCAGGCAAGTGTAAAGATGTTTAGCGCAAAGACGAGAGAGAGGAAGAACGCTAGACCCAGGACAGGGACCCAGGGCAGAGCCTACCTCTTCTTACATCCTCTCCCATCCTCCCCGCCCCTCCGTCCTTACCGTGGTCCCGTGCACGATTCCCTGCGGTCCGATGTAGCAGTAGCTGCCGGCCGTCATCTGTCCGTACTGGGTAACTCCCAGCGCGAACATCCGGTCGTAGTCGCGCCGGCTCGAGTGGTTGGGAATCACCAGACCGTTGGTGACGACGGCTCGAGGCGCCGCTGGTGTCGACGGGAACAGGCCGAGCGGATGGCCCGAGTAGAGCGCCAGCGTCTGACGGTCCGTCATCGTCGACAGGTAGTGCAGCGTCAGACGAAACTGGGGGAGGGGGACAGGGAACCGTTAGGGAAAGTCATGAAACACGAAAAGATGGAGGAAAGGTAAAGTGAAAGATCGAGAGAGACAGTAAGAAAGAGAGGAAGAGTGCGATAGAGCAGCGCAGCCAAAGGCGAAGGAAGAGGGAGGGTAGGCGGATGGAGGAGAGAGAAAAGAGCTAGAACAGAAACGGAGAGAGAGAGAGAGAGAGAGAGAGAGAGAGAGAGAGAGAGAGAGAGAGAGAGAGAGAGAGAGAGAGAGAGAGAGAGAGAGAGAGGCCTGTGTCCACCGGCGGTGACCCACCTGTGCCCAGTTGGAGAACACCTGTCCGTTACCGCCGTAAGTGACCAGCTCCTGAGGGAACTGCGCCACCCGGTGATCCAGGTTGTTCATGATCATCAGGATGATGGAGGTGGCCTGGCGCGACTGTCCCGGGTACAGCCGCAGCGGGTACGCCCTGGAGGAGCGCATAGAGGTACAGGTGACTGTTGGAGAGCACTGCTGAGGTGGTCACTGCAGAGCTTGGGTGGCCACTAATGGGAGCTGTGGTGAAGGACGGGCAGTGGTGTTGTGTTTCTAGCTGTTGTCTTCAGTGCTATAGAGACTAGAGTTCGTTGCGACTATTGTGTGATGTGTGTCACAGAGCTGTCAGTTAGGTACTTTTGTAATTTACAACGCATCGCCTAGCGGATAAGGCATCCTACTCCTAGCTCGGTGCCCGAATGAATTCGAGTCTGTATGATACTCGATAAAGCAGCATCTGCTCGGCCAGTGTTGGAGCCAATGGGCAGGTGGCGAAATCGGGGCCGTTCTTTAAACGTCCCACATAAGAGCAGACCATGAGACACTTCAATAGAATTTGTCGCTTTGTTAGGGATTTGTTGTTCAGGGACATGATCAGCATCCTAAATAATGAATTACAGGTCGTCCTAAGCGAGCCAGAGTTGTCGACCGGTTAGAAAATGCTCAGGCAAGCGAACAAGAAGTCTAATATCAACGCCAAATAACTATTGGCGTTTGAATAAAATTGTTATCCTTATAGCACGATCAAACAAGACACTAGTGAGAAGCTACCGCATTATGTTTCATTTAATGGCGTAGAGTTCAGTTTCTTTAATAATAGCCTACGTGTAACGGCGCGCCGTTTGAAACGGGTGGAGCGGGAGACTGCGACTGGCGCTGTAAAACTATCACAGCCGAAAGGAACTACAACGCCCGGACAGCAAAACATCACCGAATACTACCATCGCCAAATACCGCAAACGGCGAGCATCTGTGCGCAAACTCAAAGGCGGCCACCTTTTCAATAGTTATAGGCTTTGATATACATTCAGCCATTGATGATGATTCATGAAATGCCTAAATACAACAACGTATCGTGGCTCCTAGATTTGGTAAACGTTTGAAAGTGTGAAAACATCGATGCCCTTTTAAAGCGTCATAAGACTAGGCAGTCGCCAGTACGCAGTATGCACACGTGTAAGAAGAATCACGCTTCACTTGCAGCCGAGCTGAATAGGTAATCGCCGCGATAATCCCCCCCCCCCTCTCCCCGTCCCCGTCCGCTCGGCCGTCCGTGTTGTACCGTGCTGTCCGGTGTCGCGGACGGCGGTGCACCCACCTGATACGGCTCGTGTCCGGCATGAAGCGGTACATGTAGATGTGGCCATAGCGGCGCAGCTCGGCGGCGAACTCGGCGGCCAGCTCGGCGTGACACGACTCCGGGAAGTAGCGCAGCGCGTTCCGCAGAGCCGTCTGAGAACGACGGGACGGGCCGACAGTGTGCATTTAAAGGCGCTAAAACGCATGACTATAAAACTTATAAAAGTATAGGCTCAATACCAACAGAGTTTCATAGAAGACGGTTATCTATCCTAATGATGTTTTACGCTACAAAGTAAGAATTGAAACTAAGTGCATGAAAAGTCCCTGCCAAAATTTAGAACTCTAGAGTCTAGACAAAAATTTTATTGGTTTTCTTCTCGGGAAAAATCAAAGCCATTCGTGGCATACCCTGTCAACCAAGCCAATCAATCAACCAGTGAGCTTGCATACTCAGCACATGGCAGGCAGTAAGAAACCGAGCCATATTCCAACCCTACAGAACCCCCTCGACCTCGAGGATCGTTACAGCTCCTCTCCCCGAGCCGTACATACGTAGCAGCAGCTCCCAAGCCGTAACACTCCCACTCCCGAGCCGCAACATCGGCTACCCTGAGCCATATGCCCTCCCCCAGAGCCGTACCTTTTCCTCCTCGGGGCTGAGGTGCGTGGTGCGCACCGGGGCGTGCGCCAGCGTCTCATCTCTGGCTCTGGACGGCGGTAGCGGCGTCACCGACAGTCCGGAGCACAGATCGACCAGGAACTGCCGCGTCTCCTCGTCTGCTCGCCGCGTCTCCTCGTCTCCGGCCCGGAGCCGCAGCACGGCCGGGGTCGTCTCCACCGCCGTCGCTGTCGTCGTGGCGCTCATGATCGCTGCTGACCGCTCTCTGGACGGTTGTCAGAGGCGACCCTGGTGGCTGGGGGCTCGGCCGGACCGTGTCGATCCTATCGGAGCCCGGCCGGCCCGGAGGATGTTTTTCACCGGCCGCAGCCCGCCGCAGGAGGACAAACCAGTCCTAGGACGATCCTATCGGAGGACGAGCCTCCAAATACGTCAGAGGCGTCACCGAAAGCCTCGGGCTAAACGGCGACGACTCCGCTTCTGCGACGCAGAGACGCCCGGGCTACCCGTCACGGTCTACATTTCGACCATAAATTGCGCTCACTGATGCTTCCGATCGGCAAATACTGACATTTACCAAACATGCATCAATTAATTCATATTACCAGTAAAACGCCTTTTGGGCGAAGAACGAGCGAGCGAGATAGTGAGCCCTGCACGTGCGGAAGGGCGAGAGGGTACTTCCAACGGGCTTGTGCAAAGCACCCTTCTAACCGGTCGCTAGCGGTGTGCCAAATTTGAACGTAATCGGCCCAGCCGTTCCTGAGATCTGGAAGCGGCATTCTGCACGTGCGCACGTGCAAACGGGGTCCAAAATGACTTTTGCACGGCACCCTACTAACCGGTCCCCAACCGTGTACCAAATTTGAGCGCAATCGGCCCAGCCGTTCTCGAGATCTGGAAACGCCCCCTGCACGTGCGCACGTGCAGTAGCACCCTAACCGCAACACATGGGAATGCATTGCCTGGTGGGTGCCTACCTGTATGCCAAGTTTCAGCGAAATCGCCCCAGTAATTACCGAGTTACTGAAATGGGAACAAATTTGGCACCTCTTATTGTTGTATTTTGCACGTGCAGTGGGGGTCACTCACATAGATGAAGAGTATCCGACCTTTGGTAGAAAGAATGCAGCTACCCTATAAAAATGACCGCAAGACAATCGCTCTAGCCGCTGCTGAGATATGGGCCTCTCAAAATCATTACTTTTGCAAAACTGCTTGAACACCCTTGACTTTTCACGTGGCACGTGCCACGACGGTCACTGAGATGTATCAAAAGTAGTCAATTACGGGGTAGAAGGGATGGGGCTACCCAGCAAAAAAGACCGCAGGCCAATCGGTCCAGCGGTTGCTGAGATATAAGCCTCTCAAAAGCGTTACAGGCCGGGCCGGGCCGGGCCGGGCCGGGCCGGGCCGCTCATACTGAGATTTTTCCGTTATATTGAAAAGACTTCGCTTCGCTCGCTGCGCTCGCTCGCTCGTAACAAGCGATTGTTTTCGTTCGTTCGTGTAAAGTTAAAAAAAAAACTCAGATGTAGGCAGGTATATGCTTACAATATTCGTAGGCGTGCAATCGTATCCTTTTGTTGCAAAGGGCTATGAGCTTCTAGAGTAGACTTGCAACCAAAAGACAGACATTTAGTTTGAGGCTTAGACCCAACAATTGGTCCAAACACGTCCAGTTATGGTCAAAATCAAATTAAAATGGCATTCAATAGTGAATGTAATGTGGAGCCAACTTGCATATGTGTCGAGAAAATACGTTGTTTTTTACATTGCACGCATGTAGCAAACGGTCACACAGCATTCTTTTGCAAATATAGTTTACCTACACTGTTCACATGATGGTGGCACGCAGTAGTACGTGCATTTAATTTTAGAATGTAGCTCTGCATACATATTTGCACCTAATGTATGTTCATCCTTTAGCTTATCCTATCCTAATAGTTTACGTCTATCGTTTATCATCGGTCCTATCATAGGGAGGCACGGTGACTATTATAGTACATTTCCTTTTTTATTTTCAATTATTTAGTTCGTCCATAGGTCCTTCAAATTATTCGTAGCAGTGACCAGTGTCCCCGACAGACAGGAAATGCATTCGTCGGTTTTGGTATCGGCAATCGCCATAGTGCTTGTTCGAGCTGTGCATACGAGTACCTATGTGTATCCACTTCGTAAATCGCATAATGTTTGCAAAAAATATTCGCAGAGAACATTAAAGGGAGATAATGACCTTTTTCCACAAAATCTGAGTTAGGATCATTTTCTGACAAAACACAACAAGTTATAATGTAAATTAAAACCATTTTGCTCAATGCGGTACCTTGCCGCAAATATCTCAACTTGAAGTCACGTTAGCGGGGAGCGCTGAAAATGACCGTTGAATAAGTACTTACATCACTTTTTGGTACTTGCATGTAATTTTGTAAAATGAGCGTATTCCTTACATTTGATCTTCATCACATCTAGTTAGTTAATGGTCGTCTATAGTGCCTTCAAAAGATATTCATGGTTTGGGGGTGGTTTATGTCTAAATTTACGCAACTATTTTTCCTGTTCATCATCTGAGGCCATATGCTGCTATTTTAGTAGCAACGACTCAATTTTGAATCGGTCCCGCCGACTGCACAATAAAAGAAGATAGATACAACACTTTTGCGGCATCACTGAAAAACTTATGCAGTACTGTTATCAAAATTCTCATAACACCGTTCGACAAACCTGAAGTCTTTTTGAAATAAATATGCTTGTATTTTTCGCTTCAGGCTCTGAGGCCAAAATAATGAATTTCGTAGTCGCAATCGCAAGATTTGGCTGCGTTTCTGGCGCATGCCGTTCATTTGTGGCGCAAAATAATACTTGGAAACAAAGAAGAGTAGGCACTATGTACGAATCTAATTAATTCTAAACCGAATTAACTCTAATTCAAATTAGAATCCTTACAACCAAGCAACGACAAGGCGATAACATAAACAAAAACCCAAGCGTCGCTGTTTGAAACAAAAGCGCCATATACTGCGACTTTTTTATAGAGAAGGACAAGAAGGACAACGCATTTCGGTGGGTGTTACAAGTACTGCAAGTACTGCTTCTTTTTTGCAAAAATAAAAACCTTTTTCACATACGAAAATGTGCTAGGAAATTTTCATATTTTATAGAAACTACAGTAGAAATAGTATAGATGTCGAGTAATTTTTATTAAAGAAAAAAAGAAAGCTCATTATCTCCCTTTAAACCATTTGACCTACTTATTGCTCAGTCGCCGTGTTCGAATTGCCGGCGACCGGCGGCGGCGCTTTGTTGAATGTTGATGTTCGGCGCGATCAGCTGACCGGTCGCCGGCCACGCGTTCCGAGCGACCAATGAGCGGCGGCCGGCCGGCCGCGGCGGCCCGTTGCTAGGGCGATCGCCCCCGGCGGCAGGACGATCCTAGGTCACGGGGTCGGGGAGGGCGGCCGGCCAGTCGCGGCCTGGGCCTGGTGGAGGGTGATGTGTTATCTCTAGTGAAATTTTAAGGTTACAATATCACTTATTATTTTTATCGTTTTTAAGCAAATAGTCAAATATGAATTCAATGGAGCAACTGCGAGTGAGTACGACTTCATTATTTCCTTTGTTGCGATGATGTAAAATTTCCAGTTTTGGGCCAATGTTTTTATTGCTTATTGCTCCAGGGACCATATAATTCGCGGCGTATTTCTTTCGGCGAACTGACGAATAGAAATAAATATATTTGCAATGAAGTTTGTGATGATTGAGTAGCACATGTGATGATTGAGAAGGATTTCATAAATATTTGTTCTCAATTTATATAACAAGATAACAACCCTAAACTATTTCATACATGAAAATAGTTTTAGATCTTATTGAGGTAAGGTCTCAGTTTCAATGAAATATTGAATGGCGTCCATCAAAGCAATGTCTTATGATGCACCATCCATACCTAAGTTTATCAATAGCTAACAAAACACAAAACGGGATAACTTTCAAAGATCGTTATTCGCACATTTCGATTATGAAATATAGGGATGCTCAATGAGGTATCGTATGCTCTGAGAAGATGAATGGAAGATTCCTTATTCCATGCCCACCCTTTTCCCGAACATTTTCTCGTCCCATACAGTCTGCATATTCATTTTCAATAGGTGCCGGCACGTTTGCGAGAGCAGATTACCCAAGACGGCCCGCACTGCTCCAAGGTATTGCGGTACAGCCTAACTGCGAGCCTCTGCTCTGCTCTCTCGACAGGCCGCTCGGGATTTATTCCCGTTTCAATTTGTTGATAGTGTGCAATAGATTATAACTAGAATAATGCAATTTTTTAAGCAGCTTGTGCGTGTTCGAGATATATACCAGGGTTTCAATATCAAAAGAGAATTTTCAAAAGTTTAATATGCAGGAACGCTTTGATCGAAACCATATACCTACCTACCATTCTGATCTGCCCTACAACCGTCTAGGCGTTTTCACAATAATGCTAAGAAGTCATCAAATTTAAGATTGTTAACGAACTTACTAATGAAGTACAGCAAGTTCCCGATCTGGGTAAGAAATGGGTGTCCTGAAATGGGTATCCTGTTCTATGAAACTGCTAGTCTGCTCAGTGCTCTGGCTCCCCTTCCAGTTGCCGTCGTACGTTTTTTACCCTAAGTATTTTCAATGTCATTAAATGTAACAGAGCCTAGGAGAGTTGCGAAGGTATCAACAGACAAATCGCGATTCCCCCGTGCCCAGACGTTTCTAAGCCGGATAGATTTCGTTTGCCCTGAAAGTTATATATGACCATTTATCTGGCCATTTATATCCCGTCTCAGTCGGCGCCTCCTTTTTTCAGAGTGAGTATCTTTACCCGGGCCTGGGTGTTCCGGACGGCCGCTACGGTGGCAGCGATGCCAACGGCAACACCAACAACCTGGAGATGTTTCAGAAGATTAACCAGATGCTGGAGAACTCGCTTGACCTCAGTAACCTGGGCGTTGGAGACGGAAAGCGACGGGGAACCTCCACCGGCGGTTAGTGCACAATAATTAGACGCATGATTAAACGTGCGCTATGCATCTATACATTTGTCACACAAAATGCAGTGCATCTGTCGTGCCTCTAAACGAAAGGTGATAAAAAGTGTCCTTCGATGGTGCTCGAAAAAAGTAGTTTAGAGCCCTGCCTAGTCGCAAATTTGTTTGTTCTGGACACAATAGTCTTTGAAATGACTGTACCTAATAACAGCATAAACCTAAAGTATCAACCTATTGATGCCCCCCCCCCCCCATTTAATTCTGCGTAGAACGTTGAATCCCTGGTGTTGTGTGCGCGAGGTCAGCCGTCTGTCCGGTGGATGGCCGGACTGACTTGTCCGTCCCCGTTCCAGACACGCTGAACTGCCGGTCGGCCAGTCTGGAGGTGCGCCGCCGCTCCACACAGAGCAGCGGTGAGAGACGGCCGCGGGTTCCTAGGGTCAAAGTGTACCATAGCATGTGTATCGTTCCAGGATGGACTGTCTGATTTTGAGCATAGCATTGAAAGTTCAAACAGGGCTCTCCAGGGGCGCGGAACTACTTTCAGATTGGGGGGGGGGCATACCATAATAGAGATCAACCTAGGGTCCCCCAAAGCTAGTCTTCTCAGCGGTTTTAGGCCCTTAACCCGCGCACCGACGGGGGGGGGGCGGATATCCGCCCCCCCCCTGAGGTTTTTCGCGGATAGCGGGAAAACCGCGGCGCGTAGCGCCGCGAAATTTGGTATGACTATTCCCTCATCAATTTTACACATGGTGTGCAAGTTTGAACCTCCTACCTTTTAAGGTCAGGTCACCAGGTCACTTTGAATGACCCAACCTCAAGTCACTTTTTTGCAACTTTGTCACCGTGCCAGAGCTACAGTAGATGTCGGAGGCCTTTGAAAGTCGCAGGATGTTATAAGGTCATTAGTAACTACAATTTGTATATCTCGGAATTTTGATATCGGTGACCTAAGGTCAGGTCAATTTCGCGACCTCCCCATTATAAGTCAATGGGGGAAAAATCAACTCCCTATTTTTACCACTAAAACGGGTCGGAATGGCCCCATATACCATACATGACTTCATATACGATCAACCTTCACTACCTTGAGGTCTGTTTTGCTGTTGAGCAGCTGTGAGGTCATGTGACGTCATCAAAGGTCACGAAAGGTTTTTGGCCAATAACTCCGTACAGGAACAAGATACAGCCGCGTGGATGGTCTCATTGTGTTCAGCTCGTCAAGACGCATCGAATGATATACATGATGACCTCGAGGTCACGTGACCTGAGGTCAACCTTTGACCTTGACCTTTCGAGGTCAACATATATATCATTCGATGCGGATTGACGAGAGGATCACGATGATGCCCTTAGTTTGCTCCTATCTTGACTAATTCGAAAGTTATTCGAGAAAAACTCTCTCCATATCTAGCGCCGCCATTTTGCATTTTTCGACCCCTGTGACGTCATCTTTGACCTGACCTGAAAATGACCTTAGTAAAAATTGTAGATCTTGACCGTGCGTATCCGATGCCGTTTACCGCTTGTCGCTATCTTGCTTCGTTCTCGAGATCTCAGGGGGGGGCGGTTATCCGCCCCCCCCCGTCGGAACTAAGTTGGCGCAGACCCCCGTCGGTGCGCGGGTTAATTGTCATCCCTTGGCTTTTTCAACAAAAAAGAAAACATTTGCAAAATAAGTTCGGTATTCCGTCTTAAAGTTGTAGGGGCGCCGCCCCCACGGCCCCAGAGTTGGGGGGCAAGCTGCCTCCACTGCCTCCCGGTTCCCGCGCCTATGGAGTTATCAAAAATAAATTCGATCGAATGTGCCCAGGGTCACAGAAAATTGTTTGCTCAAGTATGATGCAAAAGGACTGCTAGTTAACTTGGAAACAGCCTTGGATATAGAATTACGTAAACCGTGCATTATACCTCGACAGTCGACTTAAAAAACGGAAATATCAACATTGAAGTTAACGCTCAGTGTAACTGAAATGCTAATAAGACATAAGATAAGTAATCCTATTTAATATAATAATAAAACTTTATTATTATTGAATATATAATATATAATAAGACATATGATAAATCATAAGACCAAAAAAACTCATAAGATATAGAAGATAACACATGTGCTTTACTGTTTTTATTTGTCACTGTGTGCATTCTATACTTAAAGGTCGTCCTTAAACATGGGGTCGCCCCGTCGACTAAGAAATAAACTAAATAGACTTGGGATCAATTAATAAACAGATCGTTTCCACTTTTTTAAGAGGTCCTTTTCTCCCGGTTACCTGTACAAAACAACGTTCGTTTACGATCCTATGTTCTCACCCGGCAGACGCCTCGATGGCGCTTGACAACTTGATGAACAGCTACTCACCGGACAACGTGTTCAAGGACTCGTGCCGAACGCCCACCTCACGAACATTGGACGTAAGGCACACGCACGGCAACCGTTTTTACTAGGACGACCATCAGCACAGATCAAATGCGTTCGAACGGAGGGTGTCTTTTTATAAGAGAACGTAGGTACTAGGAACGCATGATATTATAACGTCGGTTATTATGATTTTTCGTAATTGCTTTGTTCAAAACTACCATCTCTCGTCTGTTTTAGTGCCTTGATTCGCACAATAAGTGAGCGTAACTGCCAGCTCCTTCGTTTGTTCACGCCCACCGACCACCGCCGTGTGCCGTCTCGTTTGACAGCTGGACGCCCAGCTGCAGGACCGCCACCTGAGCCAGCTGCTGTACAGCTTCTCGGGCAGCAGTCCCTCCCCGGCAGTGCGCGCCATCCGCGGCTCGGGCTCCTCCTACAGCGGCGGACTCCCCGACACGGGCAGCCCGACGCTCGAGCAGGCCATCCTGATGGGCTGCCGCGACTTCCGCAGTCCGTCGCCCGACTCTGACACCAGCGGCGTCGGCACCATCACCGGCAGCGAGGGCAGCATGCTCTCTGAGCTCATGGTGAGCCAGACCGAATGTTCGAACAAATTGTCAGACGTCCAGAGGACAAAATCCTGGGCTCTGTGCCGGTCGCAGCGCCACAAATACAAAATGGATGCCTCGTCCATGCACAAAACCGTAAAATGCGGTGCATGCAATCAAAATGAGGTACTAAAGCATTTTAAACAATTCAAATTTTGGCATTTTTCCGCGGAAGTCCTGATCGCCTTCGCAATCTAATCGTCCAGAGAGAAGGCTGGGTAGGTGACCCGCAGTGCATCCGTGCCTTGCGGTACAGTCTAACCACGTTGAGGATGCCGCTCTCGCCAATGCGTGCCGAAAATACGATTATACGAGAAGCATGGTGCAAGCATGCGTGAATGGCTGATATGTCGCAGTTGTGTGTCGTACAATCCACACTGAACCTCGTTCTTTTCGCTTCCAGAACAGCCTGAACCTGGGCTACAGCGGCGGTGGCGGTGGCATGGGTGGCGGCGGCGGCGTCGTGGGCGGCGGCGGGGGCGTCGGCGGACTCCAGGTGCCCGGCGTGCCGGTCGGCCTGAAGTCGCTGCTGGCCCAGCGCAGGAGGCCGCTGCCGGCCGAGTTTGACCTGTCGCCGCCGCCGCTGCCGGCCGGCCCGACTCGCGACCAGCGCGCCATCGAACAGGCGGCCAAACAGCACCGCAGCGCAGCCTCCGTGTACGACGCCACCTGCACGTGGTCCGGTCAGCTGCCCAAGAGGGTACACAGAAACCCAGTCTACTCTTGCAAGGTGCGCGCTGAGCTGCCGAATGGCATGGGCGGGGGGGAGGGGGAGAGGCTCAGCTCACAAGTGTTTGGGGAGTCCGCTGCTAGATTATATCCAGACACCGGAAACTGAGTTTATTTACTTTGTGATGATCCGGCTGCCCGGCTGATCGGCGATTATGGAGCTGCTTATTTTCTAAATGTTTTCCATTTGCGATACCGGACATAACTGATCATTACCGATACCGACCACCGACATCATACAGACATGATCGGGAATCAATCGATATTATACATTTTCATACTATTTACTAAAGTTCACGCTACGTCCACTTTAGGTTTGGGCTCATCACCCTCATAAGCTTTGCTGAGAAGAGAACCGAGAACGTATCGTGCTGACCTGTTCAGCATTTTTTTTTCCGTTCGCCAGGTGTTCCTGGGCGGAGTGCCATGGGACATCACCGAATCTGCCCTGGCATTCGCCTTCAGGCCTTTCGGGCCGATTCGGGTCGAGTGGCCTGGCAAGGACAGTAGCGGCAATCCTCCCAAAGGCTACGTGTACGTACTGTTCGAGTCTGAAAAGCACGTCAAGGCCATGCTTGAGGCCTGCACTTACGACTTGGGAAACAGTGGAAACTGCTACTTCAAGATCTCGTCGAGGCGTATGAGGTCCAAGGAGGTGAGATCTCTAGCGAGTTACGCAAATATGTGATGATCAGAGATGCGTATTTATACCACCTGCTCAGGAAATCGATCCGTCTACTATCATGCCAAGCTCTACTCCGACTAACTTTTGTCTATACGCACTGCACGATACTCGGCACTCTCTGACGGCCCTCCCTACCGATCCTCGGCGACAGGTACAGGTGATTCCGTGGGTAATCGCGGACAGCAACTACGTGCGCTGTCCGTCGCAGCGGCTCGACTCGCGGATGACGGTGTTCGTGGGCGCGCTGCACGGCATGCTCACTGCCGAGGCCCTGGCGCACATCATGACCGACCTGTTCGGCGGCGTCGTCTACGCAGGTAGCTCAAACTGCTGATCAGTAGCGGCGGAACACCTTCAATTAAGGGCGGGGGGGGGGGGGGAACTGCCGCCTTTTGGTCCCATTCTTTGCATGCAACGCCCATGGGGCTAATGTTAAAATGCCAAAATCAAAGGGGGCACGGTGCCCCGGTGGCCTCCCCGTTCCGCCGCCTATGCAGTGCTGATTAGAGTTGAACTGGCCGGTTTCGCCTGTCACGCGGTGCAAGCTCGTTGGTGATGGCTAAATAAGCATACATGCGAGGAACCGTTAACTGGAGTGGGGTGACCAAAGCGGCGATGGGGTGGGGTTTCAATCCGTAATTCATTGTTCGGTGTTTGAAAACGTGGCTTATGTTAAACAGTTAAGAGCTAAGATAACTTTATCTGACCTGGTCGAGCTAGTGACTAGGTACTAAACGTAAACAGTGAACATATATTCACCACATGCACGGTGTTACCTCTGGCTTTTTAATGATTACATCATACATGTTTTGCATAACGCCGCACTCGAAAAAAAAAACAAATGTGCGGATAAACGGGCGGTACTCTACTAATGCAGCAGCATATCGCAAAAGTACACCAGCAGATTTGTCGGACATTTATGGGCTCCGGTCTGGGCTGACGTGCCCTCTGGCTGCCGGCAGGCATCGACACGGACAAGCACAAGTACCCGATCGGGTCCGGCAGAGTGACGTTCAACAACCAAAAGTCCTTCATGAAGGCGGTGGCCGCTGCATTCGTCGAGATCAAGGCGCTCAAGTTCACCAAAAAGGTAAGCAGCAGAATGATTTCCTTCCCTCGTTTGTCGATCGCCCATTGTCGGCGAGAACTGTTATAAGATGCGAGTCATATTCGAACTTTGGGTGACCTGGCTGGCACCTCCCAGCATTCTGAAAAGAGCTAAGCATACCATGGTCAAGGGTTTGATATTAACAGTAGAGCTCCCTCTCTTATCAGCGTTTCTAAGGCGTGCTGTGTTTCCGGTGCGGCAGGTACAGATCGATCCGTACCTGGAGGACTCGCTGTGCTCCGTGTGCGCCACGCAGCAGGGCCCCTACTTCTGCCGAGACCTAACGTGCTTCAAGTACTTCTGCCGCGTCTGCTGGACCTGGCGCCACTCATCCGACGCGTTCCGCTCGCACAAGCCGCTGATGCGCAACTCGCGCACCAGCGGCGGCGCCGCCCGCTAGCCGGTCCGTCCCGCCGGGGCCGGACGGCTGCAGGAGCCGCCGGGCCTGCCTGCCACTCACACGCCGCTGGCGCCGCCCGGCGGCCGGCGCGCCAACCACCGCCTGCGCCGCCGGCCGCGGGGCGGCGGCCGCCCGGCGCCCCGCCCTGCCCTGCACTGACCACCGGCCCCAGTGGCAGATAGACTGCGACTAACTGACGCGGTTGGTTTTATAACCAAATTACCTTATTTGTGTTCGTGCAGGAAGCTTTATGTTTGCTGATATTTTGGGACGGGTGATGCTACCGTGCGGTAGATGTCACGGGAAAGGTTTATTTGACATGAATGTCTACTAACCTAAATATTATGCAAACAAAGCGAACTTGCATCGAACGATGCTCAAATAAAAAATAAAAAACCAAAAAATACGAAAACATTGTATGAGGATATTGAGTGACATGCTTTTAAGTTGTATCTCAGAATTGCTTTGTCTCAGGTAGTGTTTATTTTACACCCTCCCCAGGCGTAGGCTAAGCTATATTTTATGGAGAAAAACGGCCTGGCGAGAACCGGACAAGACTGTAGATCATGTTTATTGAAACTTGTGCTTATATGTATTTATTTACTATCTCTGTAGGCCTTTAACAACAACTCTATTTCTTCGTGGTGACGTGTCTGTGACTTTGTAAAATCGTGAAACGTTCGAAATAAAGATTCTGCAAGGGATTACATTCTGTGACAGTGTGAAGTCTGAACATCCGATGCGAGACTGGTGATTGGTGAAGGTGAAGTGCCGTCATGGAAAGCGCTCTAGCTTCTTGGAGTGGAGATTGAAACTATGAGTACTGGGTAGCAGGGTTCGTCAGTATGGGTCTGCGAACAAGTTTAAAACAGCTGCGGGGAGCACCGAGTATAGCAGCATTTTCACGGGAACATGGCGGAACATCCTGGTGCTTTGAGGATGACTAAGCACGATCTTAGAACCGTGTGGCCGCAGACATTTGACGCCCCACTGCAGATCTATTTCTCTGTCGCTACTTGCTAGTACCTATTAAAGCTGCTCTTTTGAAGTCCAAGTAAGTGTGTAATCACGCTCACTATTCTCTTACCTACTCTAATGTTCGCAACACGGTTTCCGCCCTGTGTAGATCCGTAGATGTGAAAGGAGCAGCAGGCATAAGCTCTCTGCCATTAAATGTCTCCGCACGTCTCGCTAACACTACACGCTACACAGTTGCCTCACACCCAAATCTGCATCAATCACCAGTTGTTCTTCTGAATCCGACTCCGCTCCCAAATAGACTTCGTGCCACAGAGTAGGATGTGGGAGGATCACACAGACGCATTTACGCACGGGTGGTAACCCTGTTTCCATGAAGGACTGAAAGACCGGCCCCGACTGTCACAGCGCTACTGGTGCGCAATAGAACCTTTCAGCAGGTGAAAGGCAGCGACCGGATGCACGATCGACGTATGGCCTTGGATCGGGCTGAGCGAGCAAGCATCTCCTGTGTCCGCTGCTTGTTGCTACTCCAATAACCCCGCTACAGCAGATCCCAACATGACCTAAACATTCAGCATTGCCAGTGAGACGCCGTTGGTTCACACCTTTGAGCTCTGAAATGAGAGGCAATCTTTGGAAGACCCTGAACCTGTTCAGTCATTCTAATAGAGTTACGATCTTCGACAGTAGCTGCAGGCGTCATTGTAACGAACTCAGCTCAGGCAACTTCAGCTGAACGTGCAAATGGGTGGTGACGTGCAAAACCGAACCATCGAAGCCATATCCCAACGCCAACCTTTCGACCAGTGATCCCGCTATCTCCCCTGCAGCTGTAGCGACCCCGGATAGCAGACCCGTCGGTGACGCCTTAAAACTGTATTTCTCGCGTGACATACCATTAAGACCGGCCAATGCGCGGAGAAGCCTTGCTGCACATAGCAAGTGTGTCAGTGTCGCTGTGTCTATGAACGTGCCGCGTGGCGGTCGATCGGACGCCGGTTAGAGCAGCGGAGGCCGAGGTGCCATCACCGGTGGCCCTGCCGGTGCAGCAGATACACCCACACACAAAACACGCTCCGCGGTACACACCTCCGCGCAGCGCCGCGCCGCGCAGCTCCGGGCTTACATAGCACGAACCTAACCAACCACAGGTCAGCCGGCCGCCGCAACAGTCCACATCGACTATACCACATCGATAATATAGAAACCCATGTCGGAGATATATCAATAATCGCATGCAATTTATCCAACACAACAGGCTCGTATCCACATGAAACACTAAAACTTCCATACACAAAGTGCACACTCTGAAATTGGGCCACTACGGAGGATTTTAGCACCCCAAATGATCATATGAACCACACGCATGTGAGGAGGAGTTGGACGACGCGGCACCTAACACTCTAAGCCGATGAAAGCGCATCAAGGCAATGCAGCGGGATCAGATGAAACTCGCATTCCAATGGATTACACGCATGGGAGTTGAGCTACACAAAACAACCTAGCCCGTGCGCCGGGCGGACGCCCCGCCCCGGGCGCCGGACGCCCCTCGCCGGGCGCCCGGCCGGCCGGAGGGGCGCCCGCCCTGTCCCGTCCCACCTGTCAGTCACGCGCCGAGCGGGGACCGGCAGGTCGGCAGACATCTCCCAGAAACATAGCCGGTCATGACGAGCCGACACCGGCCGGTCGCGCTCAAATCTTGTTCACCTTTTCGCCGACGATGACGGGGTTGTTTTTGCGGATCTCCTGCTGGCCCAGCTCGCGGTAGTCGAACGAACAGTCGTGTTTGTCGCTGTATCGGTGCAGCGAGCAGAACAGGCCGTCACAGCGGCATGTGAAACCTGTCGAGAAAGCACACACGATCAGATCGCAGACAATGTTATGTGTCACAGCGCGACGATTGGCACATGACACGCAGTCACAGACATGTGCATTTAAAACATATCGGCCGACACTCGCGCTACCAGCTGGGACCGGGTCATTACGGCAACGTGAGGCACCATTCCCGGCCAGCTGGGGCATCGCGACGCACCCAGACACATATATACAAACAGCCGGCGGCGGCGGCGCAGAGTCCGAGCACAGTCCGGCGGTATGTGGCCGCCACACGAGCCGGCCGGCCGGCGCGGCCCCGCGGGTCGCCGGGTCGAGCCGGGCCGTATCGGCTGACTGGCCAGGCAGGTGCACCGTGTACACAATGCACCAGCCGGTCGGCGTCGCCGCCCGCCCTCGCATGGTAATCGGCAGCTGGGACCGGGCTGGCCGGCCGCCGCTCCGACACGCTCCCACACCGCGGCGTCGGCCGAGGGGAGGCTAATTGGCATTCAGAACATGTCGCTTCAAGGTGCGCTTGGAATATTATGCGATTATACACGATGTGAATAGTGAGAGTGATCGGTCCATATTTGGGAGGGCGTGTGGAGCTCCACTTCCTGGTGCGTCGAGCACCCTCCAATGTCCATTTTCTTTCCTTTGAAAATGCTTGATTGTGTGCCTCCAAAATACGATCACCAAAATACGACAAATAAGCGAGAAAGATTTCGTCCTTTCCAAAAAACTTACACAGGTCACCGCCTAAACAAGACAGCATCGACCTTGTGAGTGACGCAAAGTACACGGAACACAGCTTCACTAAACCAACATTTGCATTTAAATCGCGGCCTGGTCACGCGAATCGCCGCCAGAGCTATCGGGCGGCTGGTCTGAGCTGTCACTGCGCCGCCAGACACGACGATATTCACGTGTCCACTCAGCCAGCCAGCCAGCCAGCCCACAGGCGACGACTCATGGTCCAGGAACCGACCTTGGCCGGGAAGCCCTGTAGCGTGCGCAACCGTTCGGCTCAGCAATGTACTCTCTACATGCAAAGCCACGGCGAATTTCTACTCGGGCCGAGCGGACCGCGACGGCGGCGAGTCAGACTCGACCGGGCACTCTCCCTGTCTCACCTGTCAGGCCGACCTTCTTCCGACAGACTTCGCAGCGGTTCTTTTTCTTTTTGCTGGAGCCGTCTGCGGGGGACGGCACGGCGGCGTCGACAGAGAGCTCCGAGGCGCTCTCTGCCGAGCCAGAGGCCGCCGAGGGTGACGGCGACTTCTGAGGGCTGGCCTCGGGCGACTTCTGCACGGACAAACGGGACACGGTCACACTCCCGCGCACGGCCACTGGCTGGCAGCGAATTGTGTGCATGGTCAGTCGTGACTGCAATGGTAGGAAACTACATAGACAGAATTGGGCTGCAAAACATACTCCGATTAAATAAGTCTCGTTTCGTCAGACTGAGTCTAAAAATATTTCTCACGCAAAAAATATCAGATATACCTTTATCAGCAGATCTTTTGAGAACTAAACGTCCTGATCAGCGAGGTACTTTTTGCGAGAGAGAAAAAATAAGCAGCATTACGAAAAACTGACTGCTGGATACACTGCCAAAATGTAAGAGACGACACACGAAGTAGTTTATTCGTTATTTTATTCATTAAGTATTATAGTAAACATCTTCAAACAAGCAGCAAAAAAGATACTTTTATCAAATAGTATGCCGATAAAAGTTGATTTATTATAATCATTTTTCTCTTACATTTATCATGAATCATTTACTGGAAATATGTATAAGCGTAAGGTTTCATCAAGTAAGTGTCTTTTTACTGAATAAGTAAATACATGCTTGAAAACGTTATTATAAGAAGATGTTATCGGGCTAACATTTAGGCGAAGACGAGACTAACACTTAGCCACGAAAGCATGGGCTGAAACAGGAGACTAGGGCATTTCAGGAGGGAGTAGGAAAGAAAAGGAAATCTTACGTTTTCAGAAGCATCCGGAAATCTTCCCATGCCTAGGCATTGTATAATATTGAAACGGTTAACAGATCATTTTTGCTTTTGTTGTATTACGTTAACTTAAAACAATTTTGAACGTTCGCGATGCAACCCTACAAATTTTCCGGCCTAAAATAATGTAAAATACAACGAAAACAAAAAGAAGAATTCAACCAATTCGACTTGCCGCAGCTGAGACGATCATTGAAAGGTGATCTCCTAATCTCGTGCGAATCAGAGATCGATACCCTCAATGATGAAAGCTGCTGCATTCACGGCTTTTCACTGGACTACGCAGCAGTTTGACTCAAATTGCGCACCTTCCGCTGCAGCAGATGTTTTGAATGGCTAGTTGCGTCAGCTATTGCAAAGTACATAAATCGCACCGTGAAGATAAGATAAAATCGGTGCGTCGACAAGCTCACATCTTTTACAAGAAAATGATAACGTGACACTTCTGCCCGTATGACATCTGTATAACAGTACGGTTAATGCTAGGTTTGCTTCTGTAACTTTTCGTTTTAAATCGCAAACCTGGTATGCCACGCATAATGCCACGAGCAGTCAGCGTTTCTCTTTGTGTTCAGAATGTCCCGATCACCTAGTAAGTAGTAACATATCATCGTATAAGTTATTAAAGAAATGTGCATGGAAGCCGTGTTTGATTGTGTATCGTTGTCCGGTCAGGAATACTCACAACTCTGACACTGGCACATCGGTGCTAGCAAAAGATAAGAGACCCATTCGAAAGGTACCACCACGTTCAAAGTTCAGCCTACCGCCTTCTCACTATCCGAAATTGGGCCGATCGAGGCCGAAAGACGGGCCGTGACCTAAAACGGAGCACCGGTGGCCGAGGCACGACGGTAACTCCGATAACCCTCACACGGTCTCTACACTGGGCCGCACCGACGAGCTCAGCCAACGTCAGCAGCCGGCCGGCGGTGAGGTCAGGGATGGGGTGCGAGATTATCGCCACAGGGTCACCGTCACCGGGTACCGGGTCACGGACAGCCCCGAAGGACACCGAGCGACGGACGTCAGGCGTCGGGGATCGACACCGGATGTCGGGCGGCGGGAATCACCCGGCCGAGAGTCGGGCAGTTGTTCTTGTATCAGGCACGATAGTAGGGCGCCCGGAACACCGGGACACCGCTGCACGTCACGTACCGGACAAGGGACGTGCAGTAGGAACAGCGGACCCCGGGCGGAGAGAAAGGATCCACTCCGGTCACAGCAGAGCGGGCCAGTACTCACGGAGGGCGGCAGTTTATCCTCGGCGGCGGGCAGGACGGAGACGGTGGGCTGGGCGGCGGCGGCCAGCAGCGCGCTGGTCTCGTGCAGAACCTGGGTCCGCAGGCTCTCTGGCGCCCGGTCCGCGCCTGAGAAGACAGAAACACACATTCAATCACTAACAGCTCTGAGGGGAGAGGTCGCTCAGCATCCCCCGGTATTGACATGCCGGATATCGACATTGCCATTTTTTAAAGCCCCGAAACATACTGTCGCTCTCGCCGTGAACACTTGCACTGAATCGGTGAATAGGATAATATAGGCACGGGAACCCCGAGCATCTGATACTCACAGACGCCCGGACCGCTATCAACGATTAACCCTATACACGGTAGTACAATACACCAGGCTCCCATCAGTTAAAACCGGCGTCAGACTGGTTTGATGTTGTTTAAAAACGTTATCCAGCGACCCACGAGACTGCCCCGTATTTAGACCCCGCGTTATAACCACTCCACTCCCTTCTCAGCCACCCAGCGAAGTCACGTTACCCACCGGGAGGTGTGATATCCTTCTTGGCGTCCTTGTGGCACTTGGAGCACAGTCCGTCGAACGACGGGCTGCCGTAGAAGCCGCAGCCGTTTCGGCACAGCTGCGGCGCCGACTGGCGCTGATTCTGCTCCTGGTCCATGCTGCTGCTCAGTCGGTGCGGGTGCCGGTGTGTGCGGCCGTGTGGGGCTCTGTTCCTGTCTGTGGGTCGGTCTGGTGGCTGCTGCCAGTCCCTGGTATCGGGTGTCTCTCGAAGGGGTCCTCCTGATGTGAGGCAATCCTCCGCAGACGGGTGGTGACCTTCAGCTGCTGTTAGCAGCGACACACAGTGTCACCAATCACTGACCTGTGGCAGAGCAGATTTATCAGTCAGAGAGGATTAGTGCAGATATGCAGACTGATACCTAACCATCTGCTTGATTATGTATTACTGATAAGATAAATTGCAAGTATGCTCACAATGAGTCCAAAACCATTGAATATTAATACATATATTTATTTGGATCACATTCGCCCATGCATTTTTTTGCAGGAAAGCATGTTGCAACAAGCAGCATTGGAACTTGGAAGTAAGCATGTTATTAATGAATTCTGATGAACTTTAGCTAAGTATTTGCACTGCTGGATGGGCTCTCAGAGTCAGTGAAATGAACTTAGTTTTAATATGCTACTTAATGCTATAGGAAACAGAATTTAAGAGAGACAATGGCAAGCTTAACCCGCGCACCGACGGGGGTCTGCGCCAACTTAGTACCGACGGGGGGGGGGCGGATGACCGCCCCCCCCTGAGATCTCGAGAACGAAGCAAGATAGCGACAAGCGGTAAACGGCATCGGATACGCACGAACAAGGTCTACAATTTTTACTAGGGTCATTTTCAGGTCAGGTCAAAGATGACGTCACAGGGGTCAAAAAAGTCAAAATGGCGGCGCTAGATATGGAGAGGGTTTTTCTCGAATAACTTTCGAAGTAGTCAAGATAGGAACAAACTAAGGGCATCATCGTGATCCTCTCGTCAATCCGCATCGAATGATATATATGTTGACCTCGAAAGGTCAAGGTCAAAGGTTGACCTCAGGTCACGTGACCTCGAGGTCATCATGTATATCATTCGATGCGTCTTGACGAGCTGAACACAATGAGACCATCCGCGCGGCTGTATCTTGTTCCTGTAAGGAGTTATTGGCAAAAAACCTTTGGTGACCTTTGATGACGTCACATGACCTTACAGCTGCCCAACAGCAAAACAGACCTCAAGGTAGTGAAGGTTGATCGTATGTGAAGTCATGTATGGTATATGGGGCCATTCCGACCCGTTTTAGTGGTAAAAACAGGGGGTTGATTTTCCCCCCATTGACTTATAATGGGGAGATCGCGAAATTGACCTGACCTTAGGTCACCGACATCAAAATTCCGAGATATACAAATTGTAGCTACTAATGACCTAATAACATCCTGCGACTTTCAAAGGCCTCCGACATCTACTGTAGCTCTGGCACGGTGACAAAGTTGCAAAAAAGTGACTTGAGGTTGGGTCATTCAAAGTGACCTGGTGACCTGACCTTAAAAGTTAGGAGGTTCAAACTTGCACACCATGTGTAAAATTGATGAGAGAATAGTCATACCAAATTTCGCGGCGCTACGCGCCGCGGTTTTCCCGCTATCCGCGAAAAACCTCAGGGGGGGGCGGATATCCGCCCCCCCCCGTCGGTGCGCGGGTTAAGGATGAAGCACTTTTGATTCTGATTACTACACTCAACATGATCTTCAAAATTATGGAATTTATCTGATGGGAATGGGCCTGGCTAGCTTTGCCTAACAGATCAGCCAGCTACAGAGACAGCCAATGATATTTTTCTGTACATGTGTGTCTGTATAAACTGATCTGCATGTTCAGTGATTCAGAGTATGTGAGCACCACTCAGACTCAATTGCATATTAGCTCAGAAGCTAAAACCTGAAAGCTAAATGGCACAACAATATGACAAGACTTGCATGGCCTCCAGACTGCAAAGTATGTCAGTCTCAAAACAGATCTTGTCAGTGCAGACTAGAGTCTTTCAGGTGATAAGGATTTTCGGTGTAGTGGTGCAGATTTGAGACTTAGCTTGGCAGGCTTGGCCAGACAATAATCAGTCTTTCACTTTCTTACACCAAAAGTGCAAATATTGATCTCCACATTAAGTAGCAAAACTTCTAGGTCTCGATCTGGGCTAGTCATTAGTCAAGATTTACAGCATGGTGAAAATTAAACAAGATTTACAGCACACACCACACTAAAGTATGCAATGGTGCAAATTTGTCACCCAAGCTAGTGCAGCATGACACTGATGCCATGCTTTGCAGGCTGGTATGACCTGACATGAAAATACTTAAGAAGTTGATTCTAACATTGTCTACAAATTACAATTAGAAGTGAAAGAAAGGTGAGACAAAAATTCTGTTTTGAACAATGTATTTCTATTAATGCTGATTGCTGAATCCATAAATGAGCTGTTAATATCTACAAAATATAGGTACCAACTAACTTTCAGCTCAGCATTATGCAAAATGGCATAAAGGGTTGATATGTGACGTGTGTCATTTTTAACATGATGTCATTGTCATCAATATATAAAAGAAATCTAAACAACTTGAACTCCCAGCCTTCCCAAAAGTCATGACGGCTACATCAGCAAACAAGTTCAAGAATTGGCTTGTCACTGGTCACTGGTCTGATTATATCTATGACATTCCTCTTAAAGCTGGAGCAATACCTAACAGCAGCCCAAGGAGCTTGATGAGAACAGATCCAAAAGGCCTCTAGCCTCCCAAAGTACAGCCAACAGTAAGGTAACATAGGGTAAGATAAGGTAAGGTAAGGCAAGGAAAGAAAGGCACAAGTGAGGAGCTTCTGGATTTTTAGTTTTCGGCTTGTGGTTGTGGAGACTGCAAACAGGGTGAGGGATATCAATTGATATTCTTGTCAGACTTAGCATTATGAGCAACTAGAAAGCAAATGTCAATGATCAACATTCAGTACAGAAAATCTATCATCAAAAACAGTTATCAAGGAGAATTGAGGAAAATGGATTAACAAAGACCTCTTTGTATGCCAACTTCCTCCTGTCTGAAGGTCATTGGCTCAAATCCAAGGTTCAAGGAGACAAGGACAAAGCTACTTCCTGGAAAAAAGAAAAGTTGCCACTTTTACGGACTAGTCGAAAATTTTGAATTTCATTCTAAATGATCATATCCTGAATTATCCATGAATTAGCAGCTCACAAAGCAAATTTCAAAGGATTTCGAAACGCGACCTTCACTTACCAATTTTGTTGCCTCGGCTCTAAAAAGCCGTTGAAGTCGCAACCTTTTCACGGATGCAATACCCTAAGCGTTAAAACGTTACAGTCTTATCACAGCCTGACTGGATTTAGGAATTTAGCAAAATTAAATACTGCGCAACAGCACAACCAGTGACCCACCACAGGAACAAACAGCTCGAGACTGGAGAACAAGAGAAGGGAATTGTGACCCGATTCACTTGGCTGCAAGTACAACAATTTCTATGATGTTTTCACTCGTGAATTGACTAAATCTTTTGAATGAGCTTGTCTTTAAAATTTCTATAGTCAAATAAAAGCCAATACTTACTTTCGTTCCCTACATGATGAAATAATAATGATCGAAATAGCAAGTACTTCAGCTAAAACTAGTAAGTACATCTTCACCCATCACTAGAATGAGTAAGCGTCATTCCCAGTGTGTCGTCATATATTACGCATGACGTAGGAATATGACGCAGGAGCTCCACGGATTTCCGTATCGAATTGCGTTGGTTCATTGGAAGGCAGGCGCCATCCGCCAAGGGCCCGACAAGACATTCCCAAAAACTTTGTTCCGTTTTGACGGTTCAGGTACGCCAAGCGCCAATTCATATGGACCAGCTCCAGCTAGTGTCCAGCGAAACAGCTGATACGCCCAAGGCCAAGTGAAATTCAGCTGATTCCCTTTGTCACATCTCGTGCTCCTGATTAACCCGGCTTACATAGCATTTTTGACGAGGCTCTAGCTCGTTAATTTGGCGATAATTTCGATGCAGTGGTCTTCAAATATTTAGAGGGGATCATTTTGTAAATTGTTCAGCACCATTGGCATCTTTTGCAACACCAGGGACGAAGATATAAGCTTGCAACAAACCCTATGTAAACGCGTCTATTGTTACATAAGGAAAGAAGCTTATAACCATTTACGTGTTACATAAGGCAAAAAAAAAAACATTTGATCATTCACGCGGCATGTGCTAAAAGAAATGGCTCCAGCTGCAACAACCATTACTCCAAGAACCTCAAAGCATCAATGCGTTCACCACGGGAAATCCCTGCAGCGTGCGTCCAACACAATATACGAAAACGAGTCAGCATGTATTGAAGCACGGCCATCATGCCGAGTCGCGTATTGGTAAGAGCGTCGGCGACGCAGCCAGCTTCGCACCACCGTCCAAACTTTGTACGCAGCACCGCGCCGCTCCAAACGGCTCCACAGCTCCAAGGAAAACATACGGTAGATCGAATGACAACCGACTCTAGGCTGAACAGAAAGGCTTAATCTCTCCCCTCCAAGAGGCAGGCCATCCGCGCCCGAAACAGAACATCTGGCACATAATACAAGTTTGACCTCCACAGCCGTACCGAGTTTGTCCACTCCATGGCACACGTCCACCCGCACACACGGTCCGTCCACCTCAGCTCACTGGTGTCCACCGCCCGGCGGGAGGTAGGAATGTGGTTACCGCCCGCTGCCTACAGGGCCACGCCGGCATCACGCAGGGCACCGTCAATGGCCGGGGCGCGCGCCGAGAACCCCTCGTCCGTGGGGCCGATGATCTCCACCTCGAGCGGCACTTCAGTCGCCTGTATCAGCTTCTTCTGAACGAACTCGGCGTTCGCTTCGCTGAGACTGTCGTAACCTGGCGACAATTAATGGATCGGGTTCAGAACACGTCCATCGCCCAGACAGCCTGGCGCGATTGATACCCCATGACAAATCAAAGTAAGTTGATCGCACAGACAATCAGAGAATTGTGTGGTAAAAGAATATGTCATTGATATAGCGATCCAGTGAGGAAGTCAGAATATACTGCCGGTACGCCGGCTTTTAGTGTACCCGCTATGAGAAACAGCCAAGTCCTCGGCGGATGGACCGCCAGACTTTCGGGTTCACCATTAATCGTACCCACTACCCAGACTACAGACTCTGGCAGTCTGGCAGTGTAGCTGGCAAAAGAGGCCGCCGCTAGTAATTCACATCACACACACAGCACCCCCACTGCAGGAGCCCGCAGGGTATCCGGTCAGCCGGGCTCCCTGCTCTGCGTCCGCCGCCACTGACCTGCCAGACAGAGCTCGACGGCGCAGGCCGGGTAGCGCGCCAGGTCAGGGTGCAGCATGCGCAGACCCGTGGCGGGCACCTCCACCAGGCGTCCGTGGTCCAGCAGCCACACAGAGGCGTTGCCAGCATCGACCGCCAGCAGTGTGCCGCGTGACCAGCCTGCCGGCGACACGGCGTTACAGCGCATGAGGTCTACAAGTCAAACTACTGTCGTCAATCATACAGTGGATTTCGCAGAGGGACACACGGGTAACCGGTGCCTTCCCTATTGCTCTCCTTTCACTCACTCACTCACTCACTCACGTCCTACTGATATCACTTATATTTATTATTTCATTCAATTCACTCGTTCATTCCTTCGTTCCTTCATTCATTCAATCATTCATACATTCATTGATTCATTGATTCATTCATTCATTGATTCATTCATTCATTCTTTCACCCTTCCCTCCCTTCCTCCCTCGTACCGTCCGTCTCGGCGTCGGGCGCCAGCAGCAGCTGCTCGGTCTGCGGGTGCGCTAGCGGCGGCGCGCGTCCACCCAGCTCCGGCAACAGCGCCTCCAGCTCCGAGGTGGCCGTCACAGCCTCATCCGTCAGCGGCGTGCCGTACACGTTCGCCGCGCTCAGCACCTCCGTCACGAAGAACTGGCGAAAAGGATAGACCGTCAGTCTGCCGTCAAAACCAGTGCCTGTTACAAGACGAAGTCAAGTGTTTCCTAATTTGTTTCAATTTTGTTTGTCATCCAGAGTTTATTAAAGCATCTGTTATGACTAGTTCTGTGTACACCAAAATACAGCCATTTTCCATCCGTTTACTGCAATGTCGGCGTATACTCACGGGAATGGTGGAACCCGGCTTCAGATTCAGCTTGGGCAGATCGGTGATCAGCAGGGCCGGCGGAGTGGCCGAGGAGGCCGCTGGGGCCGGAGCAGGGGCAGGGGCAGGGGCAGGGGTAGGAACTGGGGCAGCGGCAGGGGCGGGCGCACGAGCAGGGGCAGGAGTCGGACTAGCAACAACAGTCGCGCCAGCGGCAGCAGTGGCCAGTCGGCTCAGCATCTTTTCGTTGAAGCAGAAGCTCCTCTGTTCGCTGAGCAGATTCAGCGTCGCCTGAGGCACCCCATTCTTCTCTCCTTTCTGAGGAGGAAAAAGAGACCGTTCAGTATGTTCAAATAAAGTAGCCCAGTGTATGTAGAATGATACGCCGTAATAACACAGGCGCAGAGCAAAAAGGAATTACACCCCACAAGCCTCACTGTCTGAATAACTGAGAACGGTCGCATCAAGCCAGCACCAGCTTATGTGAAAGTCACCTATAACATTACGAAAATATGACAGCCTACAAGTCTGCCTACAAGCAACACTGTAGCTATAACGCCTTATCATGAAAAATGGGGGGGGGACGGACCAAGGGAAATGTCATTACGAGCGTCTCTTGAGCTGCGAGTACAGCATAGAGACACGACTAGAAAACTCACCAGCTCTAGCAAGTACTGAAGGTTGACCAGCTTGTTACGATAGAAGCCCAGTTCACTCTCCGGGCACGCGTCCGCAGCGATTCCGTCCAGTCCGAACTCAACGCCGATGGCTTTCTCCTGCAAACAGATAACGACATTAGATTCTGACGTGAATTGGTCTAGGGTGGCGCGAATGATGACGAATATCATGGGACGAAGGGGTCACTGAGGACGAAGTTTGACTTCAATAACATGTAAGATAGCGGTAAGCGGTGAGTGGTGTGTGGAAAGAGAGGTAGGACAGAATAAGTACTCAGAAGGGCGGGTAACTGAAAGACCAATTAAGAAACAAAGTGCGCATCGGGCTTTCTGCAGCTGTCAAAGGTTGGAAAATTTACTCCGTGAGTGGCATGGCCGCATGTAGTCCCGGTAGGTAACTCCTCTCCCGTCTAAATTAACCCTCTGTAACGACTGAGTAATCGCAGCTGCTGCACCACTGTCTCTCCTCCAAGTAACCACCTCCCAGCTCACTGTAGACGCAATCACCGACCCAATGCGGCGGTAACCCTGAAGAGCACCGACATCTCCACCCACCCCTCCCTCTCGCTCACCTGGGCAAACGAGGCGTCCAGCGGTCGCACGTCGGCCAGCTGTGCCGGCACGGTGACGGCCCAGTCGACCAGCCGCAGCCGCAGCTGCTCGCCGTGGCTCTCCAGCACCAGGGCGCGCCGCCACGCCGCCGGCGAGCCGACGGCGTCACAGAACAAGCCGACCAGACTGCCGACCGGGGGCACCAGACGCGGCGCGCAGCCTGCCCGCAGCCGGTTACACGGTCATCGAGAGGGACAAACGGCGGTGGATGTCAGGACAAACGAACACAGTAAAGAACTTAGTTCACCAGTGAATCAAATTCACGAATTCCAGCCAACTATCTTATGACCTAATGATACCTGATCTTCATTGGCGTAACAGCTCTTATGACGTAACTTTTTCAAGTGTGCATTAATACCTCAGCCAGCCCCGAATCACCCTTCCTCTCTGCGCCACGGTCAACCGAGTCCCTACCGTTGCCGCAGACGTCCTTGAGCCGATCGGCCATCTGCAGGTAGGGCCGGTAGTGGAGTGTGTCCTGTAGCTGGGCCGACACGCGCTGGGGGTGCTCCATGGAGCAGGGCAGCACCACGTGCTGGCGGCCCGACTCGAGACGGGCGTACTGCACCGTCACCGGGCCCGCGGCAGGCTGTGCGCATACACACACGGGTCAGTTAGCAGTCAACAGACTTCGGCTGGCTGCCGCCTGTCATCAACCAGACAAGATTAGTGGTAGATAACAGACAGGAATACCTATGTCTTTAGTTGACTGGAAAGGTAACAATTTGCCAAATTTATTTTTTCGCTGGCCGATACATAATAGCCAAAGAAGATCAAGTGCACACAAACTAATAAATGACGAGTTTTTCTTGCACGAATGGCAGATGTCATCGGAGCTACAATAACTGTCAATGTCTCAAATCTCAACACACCAGAGGCCGCTCTGGTACCGTACGGCCGCTCACCTGTTCCGGGGCCGGGGCGGGGGCGGGGGCGGCGCCGCCCAGCTGTCCCAGCAGGGCGCGGCACGAGCCGACCGTCACGGCCACCGACACGCCGGTGACGGTCGTGGCGTGACCCACGACCAGGTCGCCGCCACGCGCCGGCGGCTGCACCTTCACCGCGATCCGGTTCTCCTCACTGAGCAGCGCCTCGCGCGTACCGGCCGGCGCCGAGTCGGCCAGGCGCACATACAGTGCCAGAGGACGGAACTTGTCGACCGTCCAGGCGGCCGGCAGCGGGCGCACCGGACCCTTCGACACCAGCACGGAGCCCTCGTCGACAAACAACAGTCTGTGGGATCACATACCCAGGGTCAGTGTGACGGGCGACTCGGTTCTAGCGAGCGTCCGCAATGACAGGTTGGACGGATGGATGAATGGGCAATGGGCATGCAAACGGGCTGGGAATAGTATTTTGGAAGAGAAAGGAACAAGGGGATGTTCAAGGGAACAAGGGGACGGGTGAAAAGCTGGGCATGCGGCGAACGCCAGAGCAAAGTACAAGCTAGGGATAACGGAACATCGACAGATTACCATCGCAAACACCAACTGGACAAGTCGAGAACGCGCGGAGTAAACAACTGGCACATGAAAATACGTTGTCGAGATAAAAACAGGTCCAAGATTTGCACGAAGGTCGAAGTCCTCGAACGATACCCTATTACACCAGAAAGGTCGCATTAACATAAACAACTTCTAACGGCCGAAGTGGAAAGCGCGGGTAATTTCTAATCAGCAAGATCGATCTATGGCGATCCAGATAAATTGAGAGGCTGACTCACATCAGCTCTAGCAGGTCTTACCGGTATCCGTTGGGTCCTGTGCCGCAGACCAGGGCACGCTGGGGTGTGTCGGCGTCACCAGCCACCACCAAGTCACCGGTCTTCGCGCTGGAGTGACCAGAGGCACGTGGTCAGACCCCGAGTGCCCACCGTACCGTCACACATAGGGTGGAGGTGAGAGGGTATGAAATTCTTCAATTACTAGTCATGTACAGGTGGATGTGAATGTAAATCACATCCACTGACTGGTTAATTACGTTGGGTTTATTTGTTATGCATCAAAGCTCATTGGTTGATATGATACGATGGGTTTCAGCTGATGGTATCAAGGGTAACAATTATACAGAGATCACACCAACTGACCTGGTGGTGGGCTCGGCGGGCAGGTTTCTGAGATCGTTATCCAGATTGAGATATTCCTCGTCGAGCAGCACCAGAGCCATCTCCTGCGGGTGCTCCAGCGGGACGGAGGGGCCCAGCTCGAGCGGGTCGCCATTCAGCATCGGAGTCAGGTTATCCGGCAGACGGTCGGCCAGAGACATCGAGCCCGACGCGCGCGCAGCCACCGGGACGGGCGCGGCGGACCTCGCGGCCGGGGCCGGGGCAGGAGTAGGAACAGGTGCCGGAGCGGGTGCCGGAGCTGGGGCCGGTGCGGCTGGCGGAGCAGGAGCCGCAGCAGGAGCCGCAGCAGCAGTGGCGGGCTGAGCAGGCGGTGAGAGCAGGTTGCGTCCCTCCGGGTCGGTCAGCGACACAGTCACTTCTCCCTGGCGTCGGCCGGTGACGCGCACCACCACCATCCGCTGCAGGAGTTTGGCGGCGGCGGCGCTCTGCGCGGCGCTCCACTGGTCGCCGCCGGCCGGCTGCCAGTCCAGCCGGGCGCGTACTGCCTGGCGCGGCCAGCCGGCGAACCGAGCCGGCAGCGGCAGAACCTCACTGGCAGACAGACGCTCCGTGTTGCCCCAGTCGACGAAATGGATCTGGTACTGCCCGCCGGAGCACGAGACCACCTCGCCGCGATACCTGCCGGGGAGCCGCGGCACACCGTCAGATACGGACCGGGGAACCAGTGGCGGCCGACAACAGCGCGGAGACACCAGTTTTGCCAGTCACTATACCACACTAACGACAGATGGCACAGAACTACTGAATAAACCATCATCTCAACGGTACCACACATTCCGGCCCGCCTCTACCAGCCGCGCCATCGCACTACCCCTCAGCAGAGCTCCGTTCCACTGACCAGGCGTTCTCGAAGCGCCCGCAGCAGAGGTGTCCCACGGCAGGCGGCGGCTGTCCGCGGCCCGATTCTGCCGCGCTCTGCAGCTCCAGTTCCATGCGGTCAGTATCGGCCAGTTTGCTCTGCAGTCGCAGGTATACGGTCGATGGGTCGCCCACCAGAGCTACCACCATCTGAAGGAGGAGAGAGATGGTCCAGGTCAGCTCACTCAGGCACGCGGGAGGGAGGACAGATGACACAAGGTCATGGTGGTAGTGCGGGCATGGCGAAAGCGACCTATATCCGGATATTTTACGTTTATGAAAGACTCGAAGAAACAATGCATCACATTTTTTGTTAACTTTTGCCTTTAACATTTGAAGTTTAAATGATGAGCTAGGTTGAAAGAGCACGTTATTGGCGGAACGCCCTGGACAAGTCAAATCTGACCATCAGGTTGCGGCCCTACTCAGACCCCCCAACGCCAGTGATCCACGCGAAAGCCAAGCACCAACAGCTGCTCACCTCATGCGTACTTCCGGGTTCCAGCGTCACTGCGTACACGGGAGTAGGCGGGGCGGCGGGAGCGGCTGGGGCGGCCGGCGGCGACAACGCCTGTGCCGCAGCCGGCGACCTGGCCCGGAGAGCCCCCTTCATCGCAGCCGGCGGCGCTCCCAGCAGCGAGCTGCCCTGACCTCCACCCGTGACTGATCCCGGCGGCGATGTAAGCAGCGGCTTCCTCTGACCGCCGGCTACTGAGGCGGGCGGCGAGCCCAGCAGCGACCGGGCCGGACCGGCGCCCGCTACCGAGCCGGGCGGCGAGCCGAGCAGCGAGTCCCGCCCGCTCGGACCGCGGGGAGGCGTGCGCGGTACGGCGCCCTGCTGCACCGACTGTCTGACCAGGTGGGAGAGCACCGGCTGGGCGGGCGCCTCCAGGGGCCGGATGGCGGACGCCACGCTGCTCTGAGTCGGCGAGCGGCCCTGTCGGCGGCCGCGCCGCCCGGCGCCCTGCCGCGGCGACCCGTCGTCGACATCCGTCTCGCAGTAGCGGTCGGCGTCGCCGCCGCCGCGGTAGCTGCGGCCGCGCTGCGCGCCGCGCCCGCGCGGACTGGGGCCGCCGAACTCCATCTCCGACTGGTAACCGTCCGACGGCCGGGCCGGGGGACCCCTCACAGCCGGTCCGTCTCCGGCGGCCGTCACAAAGGACGGCGGCTCCGGCTCACTGGAGACGACAGGACAGATCAGAGTCAACACGCGGTTAAAGCTGAATGCAAATCACATGGACTTTTCAACTTAATTAATAAGGCTTCATCCGGCTTCAAGACAATACTAGATAAGGTAAGACAAGTTCGGCGGCAGCTACCTCAACCACGGAATGTGGTTGTTAATCAAATCACGAAAATGCGCGCATGCTGCTCTTCTCGTGTAACTACAGCTACGATGAACAACGAACGTCAGTGCCGCAAATTATTAGCACAGTCAAAACTACAACATTTAATTCGCAGCGTCCTATCAGCTACACTGCGCCCCCTATTCCGCACCCACCGGCAGTCGAGGCTGTGCAAGTCCCAGTCGGAGAGCTGACAGTCGCGCGAGCAGTAGCGTGTCTTGCAGCGTTTGCAGTGACCGACTGTGGGTGTACCGCATACAGAGCAGGGCCGCTTGGCGCGTCCCTGCAGCCGAGCTTCGTACACCACGCCGTCCTGCGGTTGGATCTGGGGGAACCAGGGGGTGCCCGGTGTTAGCTATACAGGCCGGGTAACAGGCGTGGATGAAGTAGACTGGAGGTCCCCCGACAGGCGGACAGTCGCGCCACACAGAAAATCACAACGGATACACAGACACAACACACAGCGTGAGAACAGATGGAAGGTCATGGGATACAAAAAGTCGCAAAATACGGAAGGACATCAAAAAGGCTGAATGCAACAGAGACAATAGTTGATGAGCCAATGTGTGAAAGCGAGACTTCTTTATTTCGGTCATTTTTTACGCAACGTAAATGATTGATCGCTATACAACCGTCCACACAAAACGAAGTCAATCAAGCGTTAGAGAGGTTTGTAGCATATGCTAACCAGATAGAAGCAATATTACGAGTTAAGAAACTAATGGGCGGCGAGAAGGTACATAACGTTCTAGGTGGACTCTCAGTCAACAAAGAGACGGCATTCTCGTACATTGCCAGCATCGCCTATCTCCGGTCAGAGAGCGCATTACGGTGGCCTCCGTTCGTACCTGGGTCTGGGTCTGGCTCTGTGCACTGGGTACCGCGCTTCTGACCGGTCGCGGCGCCACCGGCCGACTCCTGGACGCCGCGGTGGCGTGTGCCCCAATGCCACCGTTGACGCCGTCAGCGGCACCGGCAGTGGCACCGAAGGTAGCACCGCCCACGGCACCGGGCCGCTCCCCGGAGACCTGCAGAGAGTCAGACATCTGCCGGCTGCCGAAACAACGGTCAGGTCAGGTCAATATGATCCAGGTTAGGTCATTACACTAGGTTTAAGATCCTCGGATAACAAAAATCATCGTACTATGGATGAATGTATCCGAGAATATCTTATTAGCACACATCACAAAACATGGATTTCCCCTCGTGGGGCCATGTTACATCAGTATGCAAGTGAGAGTCGATTTAAAGGGACCCTCCCACCTTCAAAAAAGTTTATGAGTTGGCATGAAAGTGATGTCGCTCGGTTCAGAAATAGCGAAAACGAATATCTACCAAATTTCACCGAAAAATATTCACCGGTTTTCAAGATATTTGACTTTGACTTTTGTTTACTTTTTTGGGATCTCCGCTGTTTCTAGCGACTTTATTTTAGAAGTGCGGCGTTTGCGGCAGATGTTGCGCGCACATAGCATATGCCACCGCGTGCTACAAAACGTTTTAGTCAAACATTTAAAAATCGTTAGATATCTGCGCTGACGTCACACATTCAGAGGGGTATTCCTAAGCATTAGCCCCTCTGAATCCAAATGCTGCAATTTTGAAATTCAATATTTCCGATTTAAGGCATTTCTCGATGTTGTGAGTGCCGAAACCGGTAATTGTGAGCCAGGGACCCCATTTTGGCTATCTCAACTCAAAACTAATGTTAAGGTGGGAGGGTCCCTTTAAAGGGACTATCCCACCTTTAACATGGGGTTTGAGTTGAGATAGCCAAGTTTGCGGCGAGGTTCAGAAACCACTATCTATCTAGGTTGCAACCCCCGCGGCCTCTTGGTGTTGAAGAAATTCGTTCCCTTCATTTGAAAATGGGCCTTGTACAGTCTGTCTTAAAAGTACCGCGCAAAGTGACGGTGGATCCATCGAGCCTGATTGAGGAAGGGCCTGCTAAATTTGGGCCACCGAAGCAGTTAACATCCTCGTCCATTCCCTAGGTCAATTGGTCGGTGACTTTCAAATTAAAGCAGACCCTTTCTCGGTCAGGCTTGATGGATCCACCGTCACTTTGCGCGGTACTTTTAAGACAGACTGTACAAGGCCCTATCTTCAACATGGAGCGACCGTTAGTGTGACGTCACCTCGTTTAGTCATTCTGATTTAAATGGGTTTGTTCGTTGAAAAATCGCTTAAAACTTGGTCTGAACTTTGTTGTGGTGCCCACAGAGTAAAAAGAATTAGCTTTATGACAGTAATGTGGCCTGGGGAAGGAGGTAATTTTGGGCTGTGACGTCACATATTTGAAAGTTTGTGTTTGGAATATGGGAAGCCTAAGATGTTTAATGAAAAATAAATGCCAGAACCGTGTTCCTGGTCATCCAATCTATAAAGTCGGGCACAATTTAACTGGTTTTAACAACATTTTAGAAGGTGGGATAGTCCCTTTAATCGGCAAACTCTAAACACTGGCACTTGTCTTTGGAATACATGCTGACCATTAACCGTTACCATTTTGTTTTTACCTAGTTTTACCTACGCTCTTGTGTTATATGTCGTAGGTTCCACGAAAATTACATGGGATGTGGAAATTTTCATCGTTACGTGACATCCTAGCCTTCATAGCTTACACTAGTGGTTAGAAAAAAGGAACAGACAAGGGTGACGAAGGAACACCTTTGTGGATTTTGGCTCATTGCTAGCAGATTATCTCCAACGAAACAACGCTTGGGCAACTGGTAAATAAAACCAAACAATGCCCAAAATCTCCAACTTCCCAAGGAGAAACGTGTTAACGAGCATTGAACATGTAAAAAAACATGGCAGATCAGGTAGCTAAATTTAGCACTCACATTAGGTCGTTGATGTCTGACTCATACTGGTCGAATTCCGTGACCTTGGCCTGGATTTCGGGCGATGCCTGAAACAAAACGACGTGGCTCACATCACATATTATCGTGGTGGGCACCGCTGAGACTGACACTTCACCCACCGCAATTTAAGGCACTATTCGGAAAAAAAAGTCGCAACGAGACGGAAAACAAGCATGTGAATTGTGAACCGAGCATCGTACACGGAGAAAGAGAGCTACAATTCGTGTTGGTTAGGTACAAAATTCAAATACTAAACGCAAGCGCCAGTTAGATCAGACTAACATTTCGCACTGTATGTCTAGCAGGTCCCGCTGCCGCGAGCCAGTGCGGTACGCAATGCCACTTGCGTAGCGCCGAGCCGGCACTCACCTCATGTGTCCTGTCCTGTCTGGCGAGCCGTCTGTGCTCGCGCACCTCCGCCGGCTGGTTAAGGCGGATGGTCCAGTTGTAGGGCGGCTGCTGGTGAAGGGCCACAATGACGGCCGCGCAGTCACTGAAACATGCCCAGGTGGGTCACGCGAGAAAGGCGACATCAAAAGGGTGGCGTGGAGTTACACAGAGCACACATACGCTGCAGCTTGTCTCACTAAGGCAATATGATGATTTGATCACGGGGAAACGTCTACCGCCAACGGTAACAGCAGCCTGCTCCAATTTAAGCTGCAAAGGTTTTTATCCAAGGAGAGGATTACAACAACCCAGCCTCAGTTATACTGGTTCGTACAATAACTGACCCCTTGCCCTTGGAAGCCGAAAGCAGCAAACCATACAAGATTCATATGGATCTGCGATCTGCATCTGACTTAAACTTCATATGGTACCCAATTACTACCCATGGCCAGCTGAGACACTTACCGTTTCGTTTCCATATTGACAAAGGCCATTTTTTGCTGAGACTTGTTCATGTTAATGCCCACATATAGAACTTTTCCATGTTTGCTCACTTCTTCCCTGATTATGTCCTGAAAGTGAATATTAGTGTTTAACAAACTGCCACAAATCTGCTGCATCAAATCATCATGTTAGCAAAATACCCTTTAAGACAACACAAACAACACACAACTGGCAATAAAAGGAAGCCGAGTTAACCCTATTCCTGGCGGGGGGGGGCCTTTAAGCCCCCCCCCCCCCTTCAGGTTTTTCTTGTGCCATTGCCAAACGCCGCAAGACTGAAAGCTCATACTCGGTGACTTTTTCTGAACATTCATTGCGCACATTTTGACAAAAAAAGTTGCCGGGTCAGGTCAGGTCAGGTCACCAGAGGCGGTTTGGTGACCCCACCTCAGAAAAGTTTGCAATCACGCCAGAGCTAGAGTTTTTGACCGATCAATTTCTTCTCTTCAGGTTTTAGTAAGGGTACCAGTATGTGCAATTTGTATATCTCAGAAGTTTCATATCTGTGACCTGAGGTCAGGCCAGACTCGTGACCTTTACATTGCAAGCCTATGGGAAAATACCTATTGAAACACCTCCTGCTTCGTGTAAACGAGTCAAAACCACCCAATTCTTTCAGTATTATGGAAGATTATCTCATCGGTGATGATCCTGGTGCCGCTAATTGACAGGGGCACCGGCAAAGGTCATCTGAGGTCATGTGACGTCAAAAATCGTTTTTTTTTTTTCTGTCAATAAATCACGACATGATGGTGCTAAAGACTTGTAAGTGGTACCAAACTGCTCGCCTGGTCAAGGCGCGTCGTTTGGTATGCAGCATGACCATAACCCACAACCTCATTGATGAATGACCTGACCTTGACCTCAGGTCAAATTTCAAATTGACCTGTGAACATCATCACATACTTATTTCGCATCGCCTCGGCGAGAGGAAAACAATGTATTGGTTTTATGTCTCTATGTTTCTTAGTTTTAAAGTCATATAGGTAACTAATTACAAAATATTTTATTGTTGATGACCTCTGGTGACCTCAATAATGACCTGACCTGAAAATGTTTTACGTAAACGTTGTAGATCTTTAAACGACCTATCATACGCCGTTTGCCGTTTGTCGCTGCGATGTGTAGTTTTGAGATCTGAAGGGGGGGGGGGGGGCCGAATCGGCCCCCCGCCAGTTTCTTGTCCCGGCGGAGCCCGCCAGGAATAGGGTTAAGACAAAAACTCACAAATCAATGGACTGCAAGTAATGGTGTACTTAGAAAGTTTTTTTTTCTTAGTTTTAGTCATATAGGTAACTAATTCCAAAATATTTTATTGTTGATGACCTCTGGTGACCTCAATAATGACCTGACCTGAAAATGTTTTACGTAAACGTTGTAGATCTTTAAACGACCTATCATACGCCGTTTGCCGTTTGTCGCTGCGATGTGTAGTTTTTGATATCTGAAGGGGGGCCGAATCGCCCCCCCCCCCCGCCAGTTTCTTGTCCCGGCGGAGCCCGCCAGGAATAGGGTTAAGACAAAAACTCACAAATCAATGGACTGCAAGTAATGGTGTACTTAGAAAGTTTACTGATTACACTCTGCATAAAAAACGCACTGGTTCGGTGTGTAGATCTTACCTCTGTGTGACTTTCATCTACTTCATATACTACTAGGCAGCCGAAAAAGCCTCTGCCTTTTCGTCCTTTTTGCTCCATGCCAGCAGATGTCCGAGAACAATGGCCTTCTGAAAACAAGTGTAAAAGCATATCGTCAGTACTCAGTAATCAGTACAATGTTTTGATTTTTTATGTACTATTGTATCATTTCATAAAAATCTAGTTCTAATGTATCATGAATGGATGGATTAACAGAGTTCGAGCCCGCGCTATGCAACGCTTGTTCGACCCATACCATCCGATCGCGGAATTCCAGGTAGCGGAGAACTTACAGGGAACCGGAAAGTAATTACGCGAACATACATTTTTACAGGGCCTCGGCTAACATGTTAACTGGTGGGCCAAATGGCCCACCAGTGACCCGAAATGGCCCACCAGCCTCAAAGATTTGGCCCACCAGTAATTTTCCGAAAAATCTAAGTTTCCACATTTTTCACATTTCAAATTGAATTAGCAGATCTTATCGTACATTTTCAGGCTGTAAAGTAGCCATCGGTGAAACATATTCTTGTGAAAAAATTCAACCGATTGTTTGCAATATCCTCTTGGGGTAAAAAGTGAACTATAGTGGACTAAGTGGACTAAGCCTCGGTCACACTTCACCGGATTGGACCAATGGACGAGAAACGGACGGCGTCCGGTGATGTCCGGGGGATGTCCGTTCGTTTCCGTTGGACGTCCGTTTCTCATCCGTTCATATCCGTTCCATGTCCGGTGGTGTCCGGTGTGCTCAACCGGACACCACCGGACATGGAACGGATATTAACGGATGACAAACGGACGTCCAACGGACACAAACGGACATCACCGGACGCTGACAGTTCTCGTCCGTTTCTCGTCCGTTGGTCCAATCCGGTGAAGTGTGACCGAGGCTTTAAATTTTATGCAATAATCGCGAAAGACGGACCTGCCTCTGTCAATTACAGATAGTGTCGGCGGCTTCCAGCCGATCGAGGTCTGCGAGAGTTCTTGCAAGCTTTCCGATCGATCGAGTGGTTGCAGTCACATAAGCATCTGCCGCAGACCATTCGGTTACAAGAAAAACTACGAATAAAGAACAGACCAGTTCAGACGGTCGGGGATAAGCCTGCGAGCGATCTCAGACGGCTCGCCGATAGACACGATATAAGCCAGAGTCAAACTAGAGGTAGTGTCGGCGACTTCCAGCCGATTGAAGTCTGCAAGCGATATTATGCGTCTTCACGACCGGTATGATGCTTGCAGTCACACATCTGACCAGTTGGACGAATTTCGAACCGTTCACAGTCAGCGTTCCAAAAAATTTCTCATTTGGGCTGAAGATGACACTCAAGAATAAGAATGGATAATTTTCCACTCTCGCATTTTGGGTGGCTCGATTTTTCCACTCAGACACCCAAGAGAAATCTGAAGTTTGGGACACTGTTCACCAGAAGCGAACGTGTACATAACTTAGTTTTTTTTTTTTTTTAAAGAAAATATCAGGGTTGCGCAGTGCACTTGGCCTTTTGAGTCAATTATTTTCCATGCGACACCAATAGGCTTAATGATCATTTTCAGAGATGTTGGGGTTGCTGCTACAACCCCCTTTTGGGGTTCCTGCTACAACCCATTTTATATATAAAGTTGCACTCGTGCTGTTCATAATTCCTCCCGATCCACCCAACAACGCCCGATCCCATCCGACCGCTTCCGAATCTCCGACTAGTCGGCGAGCGATCCACTCACGGCCGTAAATTATCGTCCAAAGTTTTATAATCTGCGTCAATATTGTGTGCATACTTGTGTCACGGAATATATAGTCTACGACGCTTGTGCGATTTTATGTGCACCGCGGGAGTATCACCACTGAGAGGGTTGTGGGTCCCTCTCTCTCTCTCTCTCTCTCTCTCTCTCTCTCTCTCTCTCTCTCTCTCTCTCTCTCTCTCTCTCTCTCTCTCTCTCTCTCTCTCTCTCTCTCTCTCTCTCTCTCTCTCTCCTCTCTCTCCTCTCTCTCTCTCTCTCTCTCTCTCTCTCTCTCTCTCTCTCTCTCTCTCTCTCTCCTCTCTCTCTCTCTCTCTCTCTCTCTCTCTCTCTCTCTCTCTCTCTCTCTCTCTCCTCTCTCTCTCTCTCTCTCCTCTCTCTCTCCTCTCTCTCTCTCTCTCTCTCTCTCTCTCTCTCTCTCTCTCTCTCTCTCTCTCTCTCTCTCTCTCTCTCTCTCTCTCTCTCTCCTCTCCTCTCTCTCTCTCTCTCTCTCTCTCTCTCTCTCTCTCTCTCTCTCTCTCTCTCTCTCTCTCTCTCTCTCTCTCTCTCCTCTCTCTCTCTCTCCTCTCTCTCTCTCTCTCTCTCTCTCTCTCTCTCTCTCTCTCTCTCTCTCTCTCTCTCTCTCTCTCTCTCTCTCTCTCTCTCTCTCTCTCCTCTCTCTCTCTCTCTCTCTCTCTCTCTCTCTCTCTCTCTCTCTCTCTCTCTCTCTCTCTCTCTCTCTCTCTCTCTCTCTCTCTCTCTCTCTCTCTCTCTCTCTCTCTCTCTCTCTCTCTCTCTCTCTCTCTCTCTCTCTCTCTCTCTCTCTCTCTCTCTCTCTCTCTCTCTCTCTCTCTCTCTCTCTCTCTCTCTCTCTCTCTCTCTCTCTCTCTCTCTCTCCTCTCTCTCTCTCTCTCTCCTCTCTCTCTCTCTCTCTCTCTCTCTCTCTCCTCTCTCTCTCTCTCTCTCTCTCTCTCTCTCTCTCTCTCTCTCTCTCTCTCTCTCTCTCTCTCTCTCTCTCTCTCTCTCTCTCTCTCTCTCTCTCTCTCTCTCTCTCTCTCTCTCTCTCTCTCTCTCTCTCTCTCTCTCTCTCTCTCTCTCTCTCTCTCTCTCTCTCTCTCTCTCTCTCTCTCTCTCTCTCTCTCTCTCTCTCTCTCTCTCTCTCTCTCTCTCTCTCTCTCTGAAGAGTCGGGGGGGGTCGAGCCCCGTTTTTTTTATACATTTTTTGAATGCCATCCTGACTTTTTTGCAGAATAAAGTGGCCGAAATCTGGGGAGAAATCGAAAATTGGGGGGGGGGGCTATGGCTACGAGGGTCAGTCCATGTCGCTGCCCAAGTGGCCCACCAGTCAAAATTCCTTAGCCGAGGCCCTGCATTTTTATGTTTTGTATGCATCTATGCATGTATTAACGATCATGAGCGATCCACACATGGCGTGGCGATTGCTCTTACAATTCCGCCCGTCAATGGAAATTTTGTATGATCACGGATTGTCACGGAACATCAATCATTGGCTGAGTTTGCTACCGCTCCATCCACCAAAAGTGACCGGACTTTGGACAATGACCTTTTGACGTGTCTTTAACACGTCTTCACTTCGAATGGTGTAGACACCATACGCTGCAAAAGACCAAAATGGGCAAAGAGCAGAATTTGGAGTTTCCAGGGACAGCGTTTGTTTGACTAAAATAGGTAATAATTTTGACTAAACTGGAGCGGAAGGGATTCGCAACGGTCTCAGCACCAGCCTCTCAGTTATTGGTTTGGTTGAAGCATAATAAACTTTGATAGGACTTAAAAGAGCAGAACAGTCTGCGGCAGAAACCCCTCGGCAAAGCGTGGCCACCATATCGGTGACGAACGGTGTCAGTCGATGCGAAAACTAGCAAAATTGCTTACTGTGGCCGGGTACCCGATCTACATAACAACTCACGATTCGTACATACATCCATGAATATTCCAAAAATAAAGCCGCACAAATCCTCAAGTTGACCAAAATTCATGAAACTATAGTAGGAATCAAGGCCATATATAGGGTAGGAATGTCGCTTTGATTAAATTTGCCAAAGAGCGCCAAACCTGGCCAGAGGAGGATCTGCACAGGTAGATTGTCAAATAGTCATCTAAAACCTAATTGAATTTGCTGAACTTCTAGGAAAACGAGTTATCGTCTTGTTATCGTTCAAAACCGCCCCACCACGTCCATCTACGGTGACCAAAACAAAACGGTACCGTAAACCGGGGTGACCATGCTAGTCGGGCTGCCTGACAATGATCATAGACCAACTGGGGCCTAAAATGAGTATTATGCAGCTCTGCTGTGCACTGTATTTTCTGTGCCAATGGTATATTTGAAGCAATGAAGCATTATAACAGACCCTTTGGTCCCAGTTTAAACAGTAATGTTCAAGTCACAGATTGTTTTTTGTTGTCATTGGCATTAACCTACATCAGAAATATGCCTTCACTGGCATCTCCAGCAATAACGATGGTGAAGATGAGGAAGACCCAGATAAAGAAAGAGAAAGCAAAGGTTCAGATAGGTACTGAGGATGTAGAATGAGCATTGAACTGTTCTATCTGTGGTAACTGGAACATCACAGGGCAGAGAAAAAGACAATCAACTGGGAGGGGCATGAGCAGTGTGGCAAATGGTACCACAGCCACCTGCAGACATTTCAGGTTACTACTCTTCCTCAGAATCCTTGTGCGACACTCATGATTGTTCAATTGGACCTTGATGATCCTGGGGTGTCTTGATTCACCAGGGCCATGGAATGGTTCACCGTAAAGAAGGCCGTGTGGGACAGCGCTCTTAATGCCAGCATTCTGTACAGCTGCGAGACGTGGATGACTGGCTCCCTTAAGCTGGTGGATCAGATGTACAAGCATACGCTGAAGGATCTGGTCAGGGTACGGTATCAGAGCCCATCTGATCTGATTTATGTCCAGACCGCCATCCCACCTCTCTCCGCTAGGGTAGGCCAGAAGCAGCGAAACTTTATGATGAAGCTCCAAGACAGCACACACTTTGAGGGTAGCCCTGCACAGAAGGTCATCGAGCTCGCGCGCGTGCATGCCTGCCCCATGGGGCAGCATATTGAGAATCTTCTGGGCTCTCCGCACCTGAGCTCACCCGTGGCCGCTCTATCCGAGGTGAAGGCGCGTATCAGGTGTGCGATAAACTCCAGAGCAGTTGCGTACAAATCGATTAATCCCTCACTAGATGCGCAAATTGTCTACCAAACAAAAACGTCTTCACACTCGCACACATTCGAACCACACCGGCTAGCGTTCTCTCGCCTCAGGCTGGGCTCACACCGCCTCCGCGTCGAGACGGGGAGATGGTCTCACACGCCGAGAGACCTACGCCTATGTTCGTGCGGTCCGTTCGTACAAGACGAGGATCATGTCATCCGACAATGTAGGCTGACACGCAACGTCTCTAGCTTTAACGAGGCCTATTCCCTTCCCGACGCTCTATCGATGTCCATGAACGTGAATGCTCCGAAACTCTGTTTCGATGTTCTTAGAGCCCTTATGTAGTCTGCCGTAGCTGCCGCATTGTCATGTACCTAGACCTACCCTGCGTGTGCCCGCCGGTACATCGATCACCCATTGCCGATTGCGCGTTATGTCTTGTGCCTGAGCTTGCGCGTTATGTGCTTACTAAATATCTAGGCCCGGAGCCGAGATGGTTCCGAGGCCCAACGGGCGGTTAGCCTGCGCCGCGCCGAAGCGCTTGTGATTGTAGTTGGCCTGAGGCCTGAGGGTTGTTTTTAATGTATTTTATCCTGTATTGCTGGCATCGTTTTCAATATGCCATGTTTGCCGTTTGCGTTTATGTCTCCCCCATACCCACGGTCAGTAAACAAATGAATGAATGAATGAATGAATGAATGAATGAATGAATGAATGGACAGATAATCAAAATATTGATTCCGCATCAGCTGGCTAATCATTTTTTTTATTCACAGGTAATGTTAACAGATATGCAGCAATGGCTTGCAAGAATACAACATTTCTTTTACTATCATTCTCATTTAGTGGCATTCTGTGCACCACAATAGATGTGAGATGCCTTTAGCCTTGTTGCTATTTACCTATCTTTACTACATTTGATAACAATTCACAATTTTTTAAATGTTGAGAATACAAAAAAACAGAAGCAACAGGTAAAAACCTAAATATAATTGCATTATAACAATGAAATTTGAGGGTTTTAAAAATTTCATTTTGCCATTTTATGCATATGCTATTTCATATGTATGTGATTCATGATACAAAAATAACATACAGTGCGATTTTCTCAAAACAGCTTTTCCGTGATTAAGAGTGGCTCTGTCTTTTTGCCATTTACGAGGCCAAAGTGACAATTTCCTAGTTTGGAGGTAAGTTCTTGCATGCCTACTACATTTTTTTTAACCAATTGAAACAAAAATCTCACCATCATGGGCCTTTTTTTCAACCGTAACTATACATTTGAAATCAAAAGTATACCAAAATGGAAAAAATAGATTCCATGCCCATATGTGGTCATGGCTCCTCCCAACAGAAGCAAAATATTGTTGCCCCATATTTTGACCCAGAGGGCTGTTCAGCTGCGCAGCCAAAATGAAATATGCTGCAGCACGCATGCGCAGTGAGGGCTATGGCTCCTGTTAGTCCCGCCAACACCACTGCATCATCACCTGTGTGACGTCACCTACTGAAGCATACTTCTCTCTTCAGCAGCACGAAAATAGCAACTGCAGGACTGCGGGAGGCAAAAGTGGCGCGGATTAAAGTTTACCATCCAATATTTCTTACTGTAAGTGGTTTGTATGCTGTTTTTAGGGGATTCATCATCACTCTTTTCAGTGGCACATTGACATAAACCACATTTGAACGCATTTTAACAGTTATTTCAACAACAATCACCAGTCCCCCACGTCACGATTCGCCACGCGTGGAATAGGCTGCAGCGGCACCAGCGTGCCGGAGGAGGTTGGGTGGAGCCAGGTGGCTGATGTCACTGTGACCCAAGTATAATGCACGCAGCACAGATTTATGCTGCAAGGACCCGAACAACCCTCTGAGGTCTAGTTTGCCCAACTGAGTAGGTAGTAAAGCAGACATCACACTCGCTTTTTGCAACCAAGGAAAGGCACTGTAGATAGCCTATAGGTCTTAAGTGGAAGTCATTGGTTGTAGGTTGCAGGTAAGGTTAAGTAGGTTTGGTTTGGTTTGATTATAGACTGAGACAGCATCTCTGGGTACAGCGCCTTTTCCTCGGTTGCAAAAAAACGAGTGTGACGCCCGCTTTCATTTTACGACTACCAACAAAACCACGTTCCTGTAGGGCACGCTTATCACCAAAGGCCGAATCCCCACGTTTGCCAGAAAATGAAAAAGGAAAAAAACAAAATAAGGATTACAATTTATACGGAGATAACGATCAATTACTAACCAATATGGTCTGGACGAAGTTATCAAAATGAAAAGAACGAAATACATAAAAAACGCGCTTTCCGACCGGGCGCACAAATACACCGCGTGCGACGTTTTTGATCACGACACGTGCTTATCAAAATCCAAAACTCTTCCCTTATCTAAAATGGTTTTATGACGTCAGCAGTTCTTAAAGGGACCCTCCCACCTTCAAAAAGTTGATAAATTGGCATGAAAGTGATTTCACTCGGTTCAGAAAGAGTGAAAACGAATAGCTACCAAATTTCATCGAAAAATATTCACCGGTTTTCATGATATTAGACTTTTACTCATAGATATTTTTACTTTTGTTTACTTTTTGGGACCTCCGCTGTTCCTAGCGACTTTATTTGAAAGTGCGGCATTTGTTGCGCGCAAAGCAGAATATGCCGCCATTTTGGTAAAAGAGCTAAAAATCGTTAGATCTCCGCTGACGTCACAAATTCTAAGGGGGTATTCCAATGCATTAGCCCAGGGGTCGGCAAATGGTGGGGCATGCCCCCTTTCGGGGTAATGGAGCCCTTTCGGTGGGGGTAATGAGGGATTCTGAGAAAACCTATCTTTTTAGAGTTAGTGGCTCCATTGATGGAACCATCGTGACTGTTGCATCCCAGGGTCCAAAGATTAGCCCAGGTCAAAGGCACAGCGTCAGCACACATGGATTAGATACCAATTTTCACGTAGCTGCTCGCCTCACCATCTCACAGCGGTTCCGTACAGTCGTACAAAAGGAGCTGCAATTTTTAACCGTCGCCCGTCTGTTGGCGTTTCTACAGCCGCTAACGTAAGGGGGAGGAGTCGATCGGACCCCCGCGGCATAAGCGTAACTTTATATCTCTTTGTGGGTGCTCAAGCACCCCCAATCCTGAGCTCAGCACCCCCTGCCTTCTTAAAGCACCCCCAGCCTCCTCAAAACATTCCCAGCTGACTCAAGGCCCTCAATAATCAGAATGTCCGTCTCCTAGTACTGTAATGAGCCCAGTGAATCATGCAAATACTATGCTTACTCAATTCAGTGACTAAGAGAATATACCTACATTGAATAAATCAGCACAAATTGATATTTGCATTGATAGATGCATGATATTTGTGTTAACATTACATCTGATATCATCAGGGGCCCGGGAACGATTTTCAAGTTGGGGGGGGGGGGGGCGAGCCTTACATACCTGACATGATGCATATGAAACAGTGGCATAGCTAGGGGTCTAAGGGGACACGTACCCCCTCCCCCATCGAGTTCAAAGGGACCCTCGGGTCCGAGAGGCCCTGCGGCGCCATTTGACCGCTGAGGGTTAACGATGGCCATATTTCTACTCAGAAGGGCCCCGTGGGGCTCGTTAGAGCACCTCATGGGCCCTAAATAGCCACACTAAGGTCTCCATAAGGGCCCCACGCCGACTTCTGAGGGCCTCTTGCGGCTTTTAACCCGCGCCCTGGTGGGGTCTGTTTATAACGCGACCTGGTGGGGGGGGGGCTATTTTTTGCCCCCCCCCCCTCGTATCTCCTAAACTACTGGACAGATCCGCAAAATTCAAACGGCGTTCGAAAGGCCTGTCAAATTTGTCGAGGGAAACCAAATTTCATTGACCTCGGGGTCACCGATGACGTCACAGGTCAGGTCAAAGATGACATGTTTCACCGTTCACGCAGGGCTCAAAAAAAGCATCATTAAGTCATTGGTCACCATGGTTACTTCCACGGTACAACCTGGACACTGGACGGTGAGCAAACATACCACTGTTGTAGGATAAACTACCACCTTCCGTACACGGGAATACTACCACGTTTCCCCATCGGCGCTCGTCGGCGTTTTCTGTGCGACCACCCGTGTTAAACCAATGGGGAAGAGCGGTTGTCAAAATCGCCGACGAGCGCCGTTCATTGGTCGCCCAGATGGTCTCCTACTACGCAGTAGGTACGCGGCGTGGCGTATTACGGGACGGGACGCTCACCCACCGCGCCGGCCCGGCCGGCCGGCCGCCAGCTGACTGCCACCGTGGGGGAAGGGACGCCGAGGGGGAGGGGTGGCGTCCGTCGGGTCAGCCAGGGGAGGAGTAGGGATTCGGGCACAAAATTTCACTCTCGTTTGTTATGGTGTATTTAAGCTGCGTTCGGACAGCCCGGTCACTGCGTGGAACTTCCACGCCGAGGAATTCCTCACGCAAACGCGTTCAGTCAGCGCGAAACACTATGGCCAAGCGGCCGAAAGGCGATCGTTTCCGTGAGGAGCTCATCGGCGTAGAAACTCCACGTGGAAACCGGGCTGTCCGAACGCAGCGTTAGCGATCAAACCACTGCTTTTAATTCATGTTGTAATTGCAGATTCGTGTACATTGGTGGCGCTTGATACGTGCTACGGTGCTGGGAATAGCAGCATTAGAAGTTAATTGGTTTAAAAAACGTTCCATTGCCTGTGCGACAACCAAAGAGCTATGGGCAGAGTACCTACTGGGCAGCCGGTGCTGCGACCACAATCTGAATAAAAGTTTTGGTCGGCGACCACCAAACAGCTTTTTTGAGCCCTGCGTTCACGGGTCATCTAGGGAATGCGCTATAACACCGAAGAAAACGCATTTTGTCGAGAATCAGCGATAGGGCGTCAGGTGCCTAGTACATATGTTGCTATAAGAGGTCACTGACAATACTAGGTCAGGTCACCAAGGGTCACAGGTCAGGTCACATGAACCTAACTTTAGGTACTATGGTTGCGCGATGCGTTTTATGGCCAATTTTTCATTTCCAACTCAATGGTGTTGGTTGTAAGACTATCAGGTACGGCTTAGGTCACTTTCTGGTGAAGGTCAGGTCAAGGTCGGAATTACGCGATCGGAGGGTAGAGGGCAGGGTCATCGCAACAAGCTTCGCTTAGCGGTGGCTCTGTCCTTGTGAATCCTTCCCATCAAAAGGTTCGGACTAAATTTATTAAAAAAAATAAATAAAAAATAAAAAAGGTCAGGTCAAAAAAGGTCAAATTTTAAAGTTGATAGTTTTGCATAAAATGGGTATTGATTCGATGCAGCTCGTCACGGGCAGTCTAATGGTGGTCTTTGTTTTGCGCTACGGGGTCTAGAATTGCTAAAAATTGAGTTTGAAAATTTGACGTCATCAATTTTGAACAGTTTTTTTCGCTATAACTTCGCCAAAAAAAGAGGTATCAATCTGAAATTTGGTATGTGGATAGAAAACGGTAAGCACTATCACATATGTTCCGGTTTTTGCGAATTTCAAAAAACTTTTTTAGATTTTTCGGCTATGTTATTCAAAAAATCTATTTTTTTATTTTTGGGGGTCAAAATCCAAAAATTCAAAAATTCAAAAAAAATCATGCAGATGCTCTCTGATAATATGACAAAGCAGGCATATCAACAATTAGTGCAACCCTAGCTGATAGCTGCTAAGAGACACACTGAACCTGGTTTGACCAAATCTGCACCTAATCTGTACCAGATGTGCACCAACTGTCACTGGCGGTCCCAGGGGGGGGGGGCCACGGGGGCCATGGCCCCCCCTTTGGTGCTGAAAGGTGGGGCCATACTATCTTTTGGCCCCACCTTTCAGATCGAACAAAAGTCCTAGAAAAGCTTTTCGTATGTTTCATTTTCTTTCTTGTGCCATCAAAGGACGTAAATTTCACTATGTCCGTGAAGTTGGCGACGTCGCCAGCGACTTTTCCAGCGACGAGCACCGATTTTAGCCAAAATCTCGTTCAAGGTCAATTGGACCATGAGGATCACGAAAATCGAACCCATTCACCCCTAAACCTTGACCTTCAAGGTCAAATTCAAGGTCAAAGGACGGGGAACTGAAAAAGTGCCACTAAATATTGTCCGATTTTCAAAATTTTGGCACCAAAATGTAGCACGTGAAAAGTTCTAGCCGCACATCGAAAACCATTTTCATCAAGGTCAAACTTCAAGGTCAAATTCAAGGTCAAAGGACGGGGAACTGAAAAAGTGCCACTAAATATTGTCCGATTTTCAAAATTTTGGCACCAAAATGTAGCGCGTGCAAAGTTCTAGCCGCACATCGAAAACCATTTTCATCAAGGTCAAACTTCAAGGTCAAATTCAAGGTCAAAGGACGGGGAACTGAAAAAGTGCCACTAAATATTGTCCGATCTTCAAAATTTTGGCACCAAAATGTAGCGCATGCAAAGTTCTAGCCGCACATCAAAAACCATTTTCATCAAGGTCAAACTTCAAGGTCAAATTCAAGGTCAAAGAACGGAGAACTTTAAAAATGTTACGTCACCAGCGACTTTTCCAGCGACGAGCACCGATTTTAGCCAAAACCTCGTCCAAGGTCAATTGGACCATGAGGATCACGAAAATCGAACCCATTCACCCCTAAACCTTGACCTTCAAGGTCAAATTTAAGGTCAAAGGACGGGGAACTGAAAAAGTGCCACTAAATATTGTCCGATTTTCGAAATTTTGGCACCAAAATGTAGCGCGTGCAAAGTTCTAGCCGCACATCGAAAACCATTTTCATCAAGGTCAAACTTCAAGGTCAAATTCAAGGTCAAAGGACGGGGAACTGAAAAAGTGCCACTAGATATTGTCCGATCTTCAAAATTTTGGCACCAAAATGTAGCGCGTGCAAAGTTCTAGCCGCACATCGAAAACCATTTTCATCAAGGTCAAACTTCAAGGTCAAATTCAAGGTCAAAGGACGGGGAACTGAAAAAGTGCCACTAAATATTGTCCGATTTTCACAATTTTGGCACCAAAATGTAGCGCGTGCAAAGTTCTAGCCGCACATCGAAAACCATTTTCATCAAGGTCAAACTTCAAGGTCAAATTCAAGGTCAAAGGACGGGGAACTGAAAAAGTGCCACTAAATATTGTCCGATCTTCAAAATTTTGGCACCAAATGTAGCGCGTGCAAAGTTCTAGCCGCACATCGAAAACCATTTTCATCAAGGTCAAACTTCAAGGTCAAATTCAAGGTCAAAGGACGGGGAACTGAAAAAGTGCCACTAGATATTGTCCGATTTTCAAAATTTTGGCACCAAAATGTAGCGCGTGCAAAGTTCTAGCCGCACATCGAAAACCATTTTCATCAAGGTCAAACTTCAAGGTCAAATTCAAGGT